TGTGAGGACAGAACTATCCTTGGGTCCCAACTGTCCTTAGCATAGGAGGCTGCAGGTATAAGGCGGATTCTCTTGCCTTCCCATTCTGGGTCCCCAAGGCCTTTGCTGGGGCTGCTGCTGTACTTGGAGGGTGCTCTACCTTAGAGGTATCCAGGAGTTGGGCCTGACCTGCCTTTGTCCTGTTGGCACCCACTCAATCAGCTGGTAGGTGGGAGACACTGGAAAATGAGCCCACAAGTCAGGTAGCCAGGTAGCCAGGTCCCCAACTCAGAACTGGGGTTGGATGGAATGAAATGGTCACTGAATGCCTGCTGGAACTCTTTGGCTCTGTTGGAAAGGCAGCTTACTGGGGATGGGGAGGCAGAAATGACACTGGCTGAGGGGCTTACTCCTCAGATTCTCTCAGACTTAGGCATTGACCCAGGCCATGTGTGAACATGTGTCCTGCAGGTTGTACTTCCCCCGGCTGGCCCTTCGGCGGAGGCTAGGCCAGCTTAGCTGCATGTCCAGACCTGCTCTGAAACTGCGCTCCTGGCCCCTGACCATCCTCTACTACCTCCTGCCCTTCGGTGCCTTCGGGCCCCTCAGCCGGGTGGGATGGAGGCCCATGAGCAGGGTAAGTGTGAGTTGGCTTCTTGGCCATGGCCCTCCCTTACAGGCACAGGGAAGACAGAGAAAGTTCTCAGAAGTAGAAGCAGTGGCCGCACTCTTGGGTAGATGTGTAAGAAGGCTGTTTGATGGTGACCATGTGACAGTCTACAGCATCACTGGTGTCATTGGGAGCCCTGGTTTTGGAAGGAACTTACACATTGGTCAGTCAGAAAATGATGTCACTCTTATAAGCAGAAACAAACAGAGACGTGATTGTAAGAAAATCCATGTAAAATCTGGACACCAACAGGCAGTTTAGGAAGACTGTGGCTAGGCTGGGCCTGCTCATGTGAATACACGCTTGAGACGCTTGCTCAGGACTGCACAGGTGGCTTCCCCATGCAGGACCTGGCCAACCAATGCCTGGAGGGCTCTTGCTCTCAGCTTCCCGACAGGCTGACCCCAAGGAGGCAGCCCTGCTTCTTGGTCACTGGTAGTCTAGGTAGGTGTCACAGGAGTCCAGGAGAATATACTAGACACTAGAGCATAGCCTGGGCACATGGCAGTGTTGCTCTGTCCAAGTGGTTGAGCATCAGCCAGGAGACACTAGTGTGGAGGAGGACTGCCAGAAGTTGGTACTCTGCTGTGTTCGGATACACAGAGGTAGCAGCAGAAGCTCAAGAGTTCTACAGTACCCTCTGGCCCAGCAGTGGGACTGGTACTTATCTCCTGGGGCTCCATACTAGAGGGATAACAGAAAGTTTTCAAAAACAAGTCTCCTGCCTTTTTGAGAGCCCACAGGCTTGCTCAGGTGCAGACATGTCAAGGTGATGTTGCAGATCTGGGAGTGAGAACACCATCCTTGCTCCCTATGAAAAGGATGCCCCGGATTATAGGCCTACCCCTTGCTCTTGAGAGCCTCTTGCTGCCTTCTTGAGTAGTATGGAACATGGGCAGTCAGCTAGGACAAAGGTAGCATGCCTTATGATAGATTTTCAGGCTTGTACTGGGTTCATTTCTTCCCCCCATCTTTAAGAACCAATACTGTTTGGTCCAGTCTCCACCTCAGGGACTAAGGCATCTTGACCTTTTGAAAAGGTCAAGGCACTCTTGACCTTTTCATGAAATAGCAAAAAATGAGCTAGGCTGTAATGCATATCTAGCCCTTGTTTGAGTATTTGGTGAACAGAGTCTGGTTCCTTCTGAGAAACAATCACTTCACAAACAAGCTTGAACACTCGGGCCTTTGTGGTGGCTTCTCTAGGTGTTCTGTTTTTTTCTTTCTCTCTCATGTGGGGGTGTGGGGGTGTGGGATAGCACTCAGTTTGTGACCAACTCAGCCTCCTGCATTGTGGCCTGCAGGTAGCTCTGTACAAGTCGGTGCCAACACGTTTGCTGTCACGTGCCTGGGGTCGCCTGAACCAGGTGGAACTTCCATACTGGCTGCGGAGGCCGGTGTACAGCCTGTATATCTGGACCTTTGGGGTGAACATGACAGAGGCTGCTGTGGAGGACCTGCACCACTACCGAAACCTCAGCGAGTTCTTCCGGCGTAAGCTGAAGCCTCAGGCTCGACCTGTCTGTGGCTTGCACAGTGTGGTAAGGCCTGGCTGGCCCTGTCTCCATTCTTCATTAGGAAATGAGATCTTTGTTTAAGCCAGGCTTAGCAGCCCTTTATTAGCTCTGGCCCTCTAGGGTGCTCCCTCCTGTCTTGTAGTTCACCAGTGTCAGCACATCCTGGCCTGGGGCTCCCTGGGTGCTTGGCAGGTCCGGTGTCAAGGGAGCCACTGAAGGCGAGGACTAGGCTTCCCACTTAGTATCAAGCCTCTCTGTTCCCTCCAGATCAGCCCATCAGATGGCAAGATCCTCACCTTTGGGCAGGTGAAGAACTGTGAAGTGGAGCAGGTAAAGGGCGTAACCTACTCTCTGGAGTCATTCCTGGGCCCTCGGGCCTACGCAGAGGACCTGCCCTTCCCTCCAGGTGGGTCACTGCTCAGTTGGGGTTGGAGCCGGGGTAGACATCAGAGGCTAACAAAGGGCATCCAGGACCCAGGGAATACAAAGGCCGGGAAAGCTTTGGGGCAGTAGATTGGTATGCAGCCGGGAGTCCTCACTGGAGCCTTCGGGTATCAGGTGCTCACTGTGGGATGAATGGCACCTGGAACTCGTCAAAGAGCCAGGCTTTCTTTCTGCCCCACCCCACAGCCTCCTCCCGTGACTCCTTCAGGAACCAGTTGGTTACCCGGGAAGGGAATGAACTCTACCACTGTGTCATCTACCTGGCCCCTGGAGACTACCACTGCTTCCACTCCCCTACCGACTGGACTGTCTCACATCGGCGTCACTTCCCAGGTAGGCTCAGGGCTGGCTGAAAGTGAGAGCTGCCTCTGTGGGTATTAGAGGTCCTTGGCCTCGCGACTTGAAGGTCTAGGCTGTTGTCACGGCCAGGAGATGGCTACTTGAGGCTAGCTGGCTATGGGCAAGGATACCTGGGGTCATGCTTAGAATTTGGAATGACAATTAGCCTGTGGGTCCCTGTGGCTTTTAGTCACTCTGACATGAAGACACCAGGAAGTAGCTTTTTTTCCTATCTCCATAGGTTCCTTGATGTCAGTGAACCCTGGCATGGCCCGATGGATCAAAGAGCTCTTCTGTCACAATGAGCGTGTGGTCCTGACTGGCGACTGGAAACATGGGTTCTTCTCATTGACGGCAGTGGGAGCCACCAATGTGGGCTCTATCCGCATCTACTTTGACAGAGTGAGCAGAACCTACGGGCCAAACCTCTTGGGTGCAACCATTCTATTTGTTGTGCAGCCAGACCTTTGGGGAGGGATATTCCAGCTCTGGCCAGGCCTGGCTTTGCTGAGCAGCTGCTTTGTAGGCACCCTTTCTAGCTCAGTCTCTTAGCCTCCCTCTTCCTGTTGCCATTCACTTCCCTGGAGATGGCTGGAGAGGTGAGAGACCCAACCTCACTCTTGATATGCTACTTTTGCCAGGAGCCATGGTCAGAGGCAAAGATGGAACATGCAGAAGGTAGAATTGGTTTAGACATGACTGCTGCTGCTGCCAGCCTTGCACCATTTGTGCTTGGACAGAGTTGGGTCTGACCCTCCTCCCCAGCCCCTCCTAGTCTAGGTCTCAGCAGATGTTGGGACTATTGATTGGTGATAGGCCTTTGCCCTGGGATGCCATCTTTGCTCCCTTCTCTGAGCTGGGCGGGGTTGAGAACAGGCAACAAGGCTAATTAACCTTTTCCTTCTTGCCCCCAGGACCTGCACACTAACAGCCCCAGATACAGCAAGGGTTCCTACAATGACTTGAGCTTTGTAACACATGCCAACAAGGAGGGCGTTCCCATGCGCAAGGGCGAGCACCTAGGCGAGTTCAACTTGGGCTCTACTATTGTGCTCATCTTTGAGGCACCCAAGGACTTCAACTTCAAACTGAAGGCAGGGCAGAAGATCCGCTTTGGGGAAGCTCTGGGTTCCCTCTAGTCTTGGTTGTGACTGCCAAGGGATCTTTCGACACAGAAGCATGAGGGTCTTCAGAGGCATGTCCGGGTGAGGCACTGTGGGGCTGACCTGGTAGGACCTGAATGATTTGTTCCTGTTTGTCCAGAGGTACAGAGGACAGGTTTGGGATCTGTCAGGACCCCTTTTCAGAGAGCGGGTATGATTTGACCTCACAATCACTTTGAGATTTTTTGTTTGTTTGTTTAATTTTGTATAAGTTGGAGATTTTACATCTCTGGCTGAGTATTGTGAGAACAGTTATGTGCTACAACATCTTAACTGCTGCCCCACCTGTCTCAGGGCCTTCTTCTGTCAGCCCCTTTGTTCTTTCTGATTTAGATTCCTTGGCACAGGCTGGGGATTCACCCTCTTCCTAGAGTAGGCCACATGGCCTTCACAACTGCTTTCTGTTCCCAAACCCACCCTCTGCTGCTGAAGTAAAACCATTTCTATGTTGTTGAATGTGTTGACCTAGCCTCTGCCAGTCCTTCTGAGGACAGTGACTAATGATTCTGACCTTCCAGAGCTGGCTGAGTCCTTCTGCTGGTAGGCAAGACCGATTACTGACTTGCCTGGCCGTGTACAAAGTGAGGGGGCAGGTAGAGGCCCAGCCCTGCAGGAAGTAGGGACATGCTGCTATTGGTCTAGGGGCTGTGTTGGAGGCAAAGGGTATGATGGTCAGTGCCTAGAAAACCTGTTCCAAGTAGCTGCCAGGTATGCAACCCATGGGGAAGCCAGTGGTAGGGACAAGGCCAGTTTCATGTTGATCTTAGGGACACCATGAATTTCTCCTGCAGGAGAAATCATTGAACTTTTCAACTGTATCAGTAGTATAATATTTTGTATGAAAAGTAGGAGACTTCTGAACAGTAATTCATTTAATTGCAAGACATTTTGAAATAAAAAAAAAAAATCCCCAAACCATTGTAACTTTGTGTTCTGTTACTGAATGGGGGTGAGGGTGTCCTATGGCCTTGTGAAGGTCAGCACTTGTTCCCCAGGGGCAAGCCCACTAGCACAGAGCCTGTCTCAGGGCCCGAACACGAGCAATGCATGTACCAATGGGCTGGCGCTGGGCCTGGAGCTCCTCAGCCAACTGCTGGATCTGTAGTTCCACCTGGGGGCCAGGGAGGACAAGGCAGCTGGAAGGAAGCACAGCCGGGAGCTGGCCCTGGGGCTGACCTGGGTCTTACCTCTTCTAGTTCTTTTTTCACTTGCTGTTCTAGATGCCAGTCCTCCGGCCTGGGCTCTTCCTGGCTTAGCTCCAGCCACCTACGCAGGCTGTTGGCTTGTCGCTGGCACGACCTGGGGATGAGGACACCTGTCAGGCCAGGTTCTTGGCATAGCCTCAAGAGAGCCCCTTCTGGATTGAAGAGGCATACTGGCTAATACTAAGAGCTAGGGTGGACACAGTGTGGAAGGCCCTACTTAGGCTGCCCACAGTGGCTGAGGAGAGGAATACTTCTGTTTTCCCAGCAAACAGCAACTCGGGTAGGCCCATGTAAAAATGACCCTTCCCGTCCCTTTCTAGGGGACCAGGCTTTTTCACTCATTTCTCTGAAAATTACTGTGTGCTATCAGGCCCCAGAGCACTGGGTGTAGCTAGAGCCCAGGCTTGTGCTGTCTGTACTTTGTCAGTATTACAATCATGGTTGTTGGGCAGGTAACAGAATAAGCAAGTCTTGCTTTCTTTACATATCTTCCAAATGGAAAGCAGGGCTTCCAACCCTAGGTGAAGATAATGGGGCCACAAGACACTCACTTCAACCCCCTGGAGTGAGTTAGAACACAAGGGGTCCCAGGACCTGCTGGGAGAAGTGGAACCCCCCTGCCTTTCCAAGCCTTCCCATGTCTATTCACATAGACAGGTCCCAGGGCAGCTGGTGGGCCTCACCGAAGGTTCTGCTTGGTGGTCTGGTAGTGCTGTAACTGCTGCTGGATCCCCTCCAGCTCAGCCTCAAGCTCTGTGTGGCCTGCACCAACAGGAAGATGAGTTTGACCTTGCTCACCATCCTCTTTAGAACCACCAGGGAGACTGGTAAGACTTTGGTGGGAGGGTGGCCCCAGTGCCTTGACCTACTCACCTGCAACCTCAGAACCATAACCAGGTCCAGTCCCAGTGCTTGTGAAATCCCCAGGGAGGAAGAGATGGGGCTTGGGCCCTCTGGTTAGGGCGGGTTGAGGTCTAGGAATGGTGGGCTTTGCTGACACCTGTAGAGGAAGAAAGGGTGAATGTTGAGCAACAAAGCTAGTGGGCACCCTTCCCAAGGTGAGTCCCATCTCCAGTTCATTGCCCATAGTGCCTTGTAGCAATAGGGTGATTGGCCAGCACACACAAAGCCCGGCTCTACCTGTTTTGGAAGGTGATACACTGGGAAGTCCCACAGGCAATCTCTACTGTTGAGTGCCATTCTTGTGTAAGGGGACCTTTAGTGCTACCCCAGGAACAGAGACAGTTTCTGCCCTTGCCCAGCCTTTCACCCCACTAAGATAAGCTACCAAGCTAAGCTTGGCCTCAGTGCAGCAGCTTTCCCAATCCAACACTCCAGCGCCCCAAGTCTTCTCTTCTGTGGAGAGTGGGCATGCCAATATTTAAGTTTTTGTTTGTTTACTTATTTACTAACACAGATGAGTCTTGCTGTATAGCATAGGCTGATTTGAGCTCTCTGTCCTCCTGCCTCTACCTCCTAAGTGCTGGGATTAGGTGTATGTCACTTCTATTACCAGCCATTTATCACCAGAAACTGCCTCCTTCCTGTCTGCACCCCTCCCCAGTCAGCATCACCTTCTTAGGAGCTGACTGAGTACTGCCACCTGTCTCAGGAGCACACCTTTGTGTACTGCCTGTGCCCTCCTAGGTGGCACCTTTGCCCTGCACTGTGGACACTCATAGCCTTGAAGACAACCAAGTGCTGGTCTCTATCACATCTGATAAGTAAAAGGGACCAACTGTCTCACCAGATGCTGGACCCCACCCATTTCCTTTTACTGAAAGAGTTCTTCCCTAAGTGCTCCTGGACTCCTTTTCCTCTCTCCACTCCCTGTCCCCAGCAGACTGTCATCCCACAGTGAGGAGTCCACTAGCATGTCTTTGTGGTTGCCCCTACTTGGTGCTCTGAGTCCATGCTCCAGGCCAGACACAGTACCCTGGAACAGACCCTCAATTTCTTCCTCTTCTCACTCAAGCTTCCACAGTCCACCTGTCCCCCAAGACCAGAGGCCCTGCTAGGAGTCTGCCTGTAAGCTTCTTCTGGTTATCTGACCGCAAGACATTTCTTAAGGGCTGGGGTGTTAGCAGACTGGCCACTGTTTTAGGCCTAGAGTGTAGGGTCCCCAAGCTTGTCAAGTGACCAAGATACTCTAGAAAGAAGATAACAAGAAGAGCAAATGAAGGCCCAGTGGAGAACTCACCCTGGCAGTGTCTCCCACCCCATGGGGCATGAAGGAAGACGGAGGCAACAGCTCCGGGCCTGGACTTGAAGTAGGGAGCAGCTTTGAACCAGGGGCATTTGGCAGGACCATGGGTAAGAAGGGCCTCGTCAGCGAAAGGCCTCCTGGTGGAGCCATGCTTTGACCATTTTCCAGAGGCCTCTCTAACCTGAGTGGAAGGAAGGCAGGAGCTGGTTACACCATGAAACCTTTCTCCGTATTAAAGAGGCCACATAATCAACAAAATATAGTGCCTTTGGGGACTCACAACCATTTAACTTACTGCTGTTCCCCAAGGGTGCACCTGCCTGGGGACCTCTGGCTCCGCAAACGGTCGAGCAGGAAGGATGGACGTCGTGGCTGTTTCCTTGATAAGCGGGCCTCATTGCTGGGGAGAAATAATCTGTTCATGGACTTATAGGTCTGCAGGAGGACCTGAGATCTCGCTAAGCTTCAGACATTGTCATTTTACAGGGAGACCGGAGGCCAGGCAAAACAAGGCTCCGGCCAAGGGCCAGAATGTGCATGGAGGTAGACCTGAGCCTAGACAACACGGCGTAACCCTGGCAGTCAGACTGATCCCCACCTGGGTGCTGGAGTTGCACCTCTTTCTTTTGACCTGTGCAGCAAGCTACAATATGGTGTCTGCCCATCAGAAGGGCACAGAGCCCTTCTGGATGGGGGCTGCCCAGTACACTCAACCCAACTCAGTGCTAGTTACTCTGGGAATGGCAGCTGCCTCAGCAAGGGTGGTATGCATAGGGCTGAGAGAAGCCATCCAAGGAGGTGGGAAAAGAGCAGATCACTGCAGGCCTAAGGCAAGGCATGAAGGCTTGACAGTCTGGTGAGTACCATAAGACAGAGAGAAGCAGACGTCACAGGGGATGGACAACAGTCTCTTTTCTGCAAAGAAGCTGGGAAATCCCACTGCCCTGGAAAGGATGGCCTGACAAAGAGGCCTCTGAGCAGCTCTGCTGTGACAAGGCTGTGGCAGTCTCACCTGGCCCCTCCCAGGGTGCTTGTCCCTCATGTATGCTCCCAGTCTTTGCTCTAGGGCTAGAGGCAGAGGTGAGGCACAGGCCACTTACAGCGTTAGGAGGCAGGGCTCTCCAGCAGCTACTGCCAAGCTGCCCAGGGTTCCCTGAGACGGAGGAGCTTGCAACTTCTTAGTCTCCAGGGTGGTGTCCCTAGCCTCACCAGTAACTCCAGAGAGAAAGGAATCCTTAAATGTCACTCTTCTGCTGAATGTGATGGGTGCTGGTGTCTGAGACATCCTGCCTGGACCAAGTACTTTCTTTTTCCAGAGCTCAGCACAGCGGCGGACTGCACAGTGGAGGCTGTGGGCTGCCTGCAACACAGTTTCTCATCAGCTCCTGCCCTGCCCTGCCCTGCCAGCTCCTCAGCAGCAGCCCCAGCTCACCTGGACTTCCTGCCGGGCCTGTAGCTGCTGCCGGAAGGCCTTCACACCAGTTGCAAAGCGCAGAAGCCGTGTGGCACCCTCCTGCAGGAGCTGCTGGTGGTAGGCTTGCACAGCTCGTTCCTGCCGTGCCTTCTTCCTCCTCCTCTCAAGTATGAATCCCAACCATGCAGTCCATACCTTGTAGAAGAGACGGCAAGAGATGAGGCTCAGGCTTCCATTTGGGCTCCCTCGACCCAAGCCATAGAGCTGCCCCTGAAGGCAGGAGCAACCAGGAAGCTGTAGAACCATTACCTTTGCCTGCAGTGAGAAGGCCCAGAACCATAGGGCCCGGGCTGTACTCCACTGCTCTTGCTTCCTGGCTGCCAGCTGTCGGCCAGAAAGACAGGGTTATTCAGAGGAATGCATAAGCAATACAGCCATGGCCAGTCCTAGCTCACCAGTCTCTAGCTAAAGAATCGACCCTCCTGGGAAGGGATCAGGTCCTGGCCTCATCCTGAGATATTCAATATGTTCAGCGTCTATGGACTGAAAAAATGACAGTAGAAAAGGAATGCAAAGAGCAGTCAGAAGGGGTGAATGGAAGGAGCCAGCAGGGTTCACAGAGGGATGCTATAGAGCTAGGGGCAGAGCTGGGAGGCTCAGCCTAGAGCAAGAGTGGCCTATGAACTTGGTTTTACTGAGCAGAATGTGTATGTGTGTGACCTGAGATTTTTTTGTTGTTTTGGTTTGGTTTGGGATTTTTTTCGTTTTTTGAGACAGGGTTTCTCTGTGTAACAGCTCTGGCTGTCCTGGAACTCACCTCTGTAGACCAGGCTGGCCTTGAACTCAGAGATCCACCTGCCTCTGCCTCCCCAGTTATGGGATTAAAGGCATGTGCCACCACTGCCCCGCACATTTTTTTAAAATCAAGACCACAACAAAGACTGAAATTCATTTCACATTAATTTTTGGATATTATTCTAATGTGTTTAAGATGACACCACTAAGAGAAACCTGGATTGAAGAGACTGACTGTCTATAAATGGTGTGTGAATGAAGCTGATAGTGGGGGGTGGGGGGACACAAGGATGGAGCCCTGGGACAAAGACAGTATTAAAGACTCATCTGAGTGGGGCTGAGATGGCTGCAGGAAAGAAGCCTGCATCAGGTTCCTCCTACCTGCTTCCTCCACTGGCAGAAGCAGGCCTGACAGAGTCTCTGGACCAGGAGTTGGGCAGCTCGCCTCTGAAGGAGCTGGGGAGAGTAAACACACAGGGAGTCAGACTCCATTTTACTCTGGTCTAGCCCAGCCACTGGGGCAGCTGCATGATGAGGCTCCACCCAAGTGGACATCCTCCTGCCAAGAGCTGTTCCAGATCCAAAGGTTCCTAACGTAGGTGAGGAGGTCCTAATGTTTCCCCAGATCTGAAAAGCTACAGGTCAGAAGAAAGCAGATTTCTCTTCTAAGCCAGCTTCTCCTGACGCACACTTGATCTAAGGATGGCCACTCCTGCCTTCAGTAATTGCTCAGAATGGCTCTCGCAGACTTGTTCCCACAGAATCCCAGGGCACCAGCATGCATACTAGCTGCCTAGAGTTTTGTCTGGAGACCCCTCCGAAAGACACTCTGACTCAGACAGAGCTTGGAAAGTACTACCACCTGCCCCACCTTTTTCATGACACACTGCAGATGGTACGCCTTCCATCGAGCCATCCCTCCCTTCAGCAGCTGCTGGCGGTGATGCTGAGCTGCCCTTTCCAGCTGGAATCTCTGCTGGGCCTCCCTCTGGCTGCACAACTGCCAGCGCTGAAACCAGTCACGGAGCCGACCTGAAGCAGACTTAAAGTAGCTGACAACTGTAGAGAATTTTCATTGCTAAGTGACTTTGTAGCAGGGAAGGACTAGACAGTTGGAGAGGTTATGTGAGGTGACATCCAGCCTTCTGTGAGAAAAAAAACACCACAGGCTCCATGGCCACTGTGTAAGGCCAGGTCAGGTCATCTTTGCACTATGGGACGTTTTGCTGCCGCATCCCCAAGCACTGTCGCAGAGTTGCATACCTGTGCACAGTCACCAAAGGGGTGCCAGGCCACACAGAGCCACGCCAAGGGCTGACAGGCATGTGGAAGGAGCAGACCCACTGTCCCTAAAGAAAACTTCCTCACAGAGCCGAAGCCTGGAGACGGTACAGCTTCCTCTTATGAAGCAGGAAGTCAAGTGAGCCAGGACAGTGATAAAATGATCTGGCTGTGTTGACTCTCTGGGCCCACTGTGTAGACCTTGTTGATTCAGGAAGTGCTTCTGGACCCATTCACAGTCAGAGAAGACAGCAGCCATGAGCTGGAGACCAGTCATTTTACCATGTCCTGGATACAGCTTTAAATGTACCATCTCCCTAGCTACAACTATACCATCCCTAAGTAACAACTTCAACAAGGGGGTACTACAGCCCTATTTTATAGATGAAGAAACATACTGAAGCAGCGGGGACCCCTCTGTCCTCTGAAGTCAGACTAGGCAGTGTGGTGACTTTTGGTCTGTAATTTTTTTTTTACCTTAAAAAGTAAAGGATTTCACCCCCATCAAGGAAACTTCTCGCAACAGATGGAACACATTCCCGTACCTAAGGCCCCAGAACATTTTGGAAGAGGGGGAGAAAAGACTCTAAGAACAAACTGATGAGGGAGTTTGCTGTGTGCCTGTCTCCTAGTCCTATCAGAAGCTACCAACATGACTGCCCAAATGTGAGCTGAACAAAGGACACCAATAGATACGCCAACGTGAATGGGAAAAGCTATGAAGCTTCAACCCTATACAAAGAACAACAGAAAACTAAGAAACACTGACAGTGGGAGAAAGTCCTCCCCAGGGAAGAGCACACCAATTTGTTATCCAATACCAAGTGGTCAGCCCTGGAAACAAGCATTCTACAGACTGAGCAGGTTATATTTAGCGAGTGCTTATGTTTGTACACACGTGCATGTGTGCATGCATGCGCTAACAATGGAAAAAGAGGGCAGGATTTGAAAGAGAGCAGTGTTTTGGAGGGAGGAAAGAAAGGGAAGGGAGAAATTATATAATTACAATCTTAAAAAGAAAAGAAATGAGCCGGGCGGTGGTGGCGCACGCCTTTAATCCCAGCACTCAGGAGGCAGAGGCAGGCGGATCTCTCTGAGTTCGAGACCAGCCTGGTCTACAAGAGCTAGTTCCAGGACAGGCTCCAAAAGCTACGGAGAAACCCTGTCTCAAAAATCAAAAAAAAAAAAAAAAGAAAGAAAGAAATGGGGGGAGTAAGGGTTCTAATTATGTGATGTGATTCAGGCTGGCCTCAAACTCCTTGTCCAGCATTCCTCCTTCCTGCCTTCCACGTCCTGGGACTATGAGCCTGTATGCCGTAAAATCCTATACCTGGGTCTTAGGATGTCTTCCCTTGAGCTCTAACAAAGTGTGGCAGAGATTCTGAGGTCTTAAGATAAGACAAGACAATGAGCACATGTCTTTAGCCCCAGCGCTCCAGTGGCAGAGGCAAGTGGACCTCTTTGAGTTCAAGACCATCCTAGTCTACATAGTGAGTTCCAGGACAGCCAGGACTACAGAGAAACCCTTCTCCAAAACAAGACACTGAATCCCAAATGTTACTGCATCCCCTCCCACAGATGGTACTTTGTGCTCAGCCTCCTAAGTCCCTGTTCCCAGGACCCCCTTTTAGGGCAAGTCTTGCAGAGATGGCCCTGCTGCTGCTGCTGCTGCTTCTAGGTTCTTCACTCAGAGCAAAATCAGCATTTTCACCTTTTCATGGACTAGGGATAAGCAGTTCTCAAGGAACTTGCTGGGCTCCCAACACCAGATGTACCTACTGAGGCACACCACCTTGTAGGATGCATAACCACCTTGTTTTCTGCCCCACCCCAGTAAGACACAGCTATTCTGGGCTGACTCTGGCTATTCAGGCCTAGCCTCAAGGATGAGTACTGGATTCTCATCATTTCAGGAATGACTTAGATAATAGTATTATCTTTTTCTTTTTTTCTTCTAAGACAGGGTTTCTCTGCAGCTTTGGAGCCTGTCCTGGAACTCACTTTGTAGACCAAGCTAGCCTCGAACTCATGGAGATCCGCCTGTCTCTGCCTCCCAAGTCCTGGGATTAAAGTTGTGTTTCACCACCACCCAGTTGGATACTATTTATCATCTTAAAGCTCACTTAGTAAATGTATATGATATATAATATATATATCATATATGGAGGACCAAGAAGGGCAACAACCAGAAGGTAGAAGAACCCAGGAGGGATTCTCCCCTAGAGCCTCTGGCCTCCAACACTGGAATATCAGGTTTTCTTTTGAAGTCTCCTAGCCATGGGAGTGTCAGGGAACCAACATACACAGGCAGAGCACATGGAACCTTGGGAAGTCCTGTGTTCATACTCTTTCTGGCAGTGTTTGTTCCCACAGCTCTCTCTTACCCCTGGCCAGTGCTTTCCGGGCCTCCCTGAGGGCAGTTGCCTCCTTTTCTCGGTAATATATCTGCATTGATGTAACCTCCTGCCACTGCACCAGAACCTACGGACAGGCAGGGAAAGAGAGGTGATCAGTTCACGTTCTAAGGTCAAGGACACACTGTGACTGACTAGTGTGTGTGTGTGTGGGGGGGTCTTCATGAGGTACGACTGAGGAGTTAACATTGGGCTCTCACTGCCAGCCACCCACACAGGTCTGGGTTGGGACTTCAGGTCTCTCCCAGGAAGCCTGACATTTTCCTGTCAGGATTTAAACTTTGTACTGTGCCACAACAAGTGAAGTTGTTACATAGATTATAATCCTATTGTTATTTGCTATGCATTATATTAATTCTTTCTTACACAGGAAATCCAGTAACAAAACCCTTTGTGGGGTGGTGTGTGCTGGTGCATACCTTTAACCCCAGCATTTGGAAAGCAAAGACAAGTGGATCTCTGTGTTTTTGAGACCTGCCTGGTCTACACAGTGAATACTAGGCCAGCCAAGGCTACATAGTGAGACCCTATCTCAAAAGAAAACACAGAACTCTGTGTGTGGAAGGGTGTTGTATGCATATGAGCATCTGTGTGGGTGTAGAAGACCCACGAATCCAGTGTGTTCCTCACATTCTCCATCTTGTTCCCATCAGACGCTCTCTGGGGCTGTCTGTACAAGGAGCTCTCAGGACCTCTTATGTTTACTCCAGCTCTAGGACAGGGGCTACAGACACACACAGCCATACTCAACTTTATTTGGGAGCTTGGGATTTGAACTCAGGTTGTACTCTGAGATTTGAACAGCATGTATTTTTAACCACTGAGCCATCTCTCCAGCACCACTAAACACATTTTAAAAAGTCAGGAAGCCAGATGAAGCTTCATAGTCATAATACCCCACTCCCAGCTGAGTGGCCTCTCTCTTTGGACCATTAAACCCAACTAGATCTGATCATCTCTTCCCAAGGTAGGGGCCAAGCAGGCTGTCTTGAGCATTTCTGAGGCCAGCCTTCACCAAATGCAGCTGCTGCCTCCTCAGGGAACTACATGGCCACCAGCAGGTAGACCTAAGCCACTCAAGAGCTTCCAGCAATCTGCTTTCTTCTGAACAGTCATGACCCATGGCCTGCCTCTGCTACTGTTTCTGTCTGAACCACTTCTTTGTATTATGTCCCAACACCATGCTCATCCATAGCATGGAGCCAACAGGGTATTCCCATACATCAATCACCCCAGCCAAGGCAGCAAGGTGGTCTGAGTCATTTCAAACTATGGGTGACCAGGAACTTCTTGGGATGCTCCATGCTTTCTAGCAAGCCTCCAGGGCCAGTCAGTAAGATCTGGTACTCTTCCAACAAGGACACCGAATCTCAGTGGCCTCGAGGCTTTATCAACGTTTAATGTTGTTGTGCAGGCGTGGTAAGTGCTGGCTCTGGCAAGAACTAGTTTGGTTTCTATATGATGTTATTTTTATTTTAAAGAACAGTGATTCCGAATTCAGTAAAAACAAACATACAGTACCTACAGACATGCATATCACTCTGAGTTCCTTATTAAGTACCAACACCACATTGATGGAGGAAGGTCATTGGTTAAGTAATAAAGAAACTGCTTGGCCTCATAGGTTAAAACATAGGTGGGAGGAGTAAACAGAACAGAATGCTGGGAGGAAGAGGAAGTGAGCTCAGAGGCCATGCTCCCCTCTCCCCAGCAGACGCGATCGATGAAGCTCCAACCCAGGATGGACGTAGGCTAGAATCTTCCCGGTAAGACTGATGCTACACAGATTATTAGAGATGGGTTGATCGGGATATGAGAATTAGCCTGTAAGGGCTAGAGTTAATGGGCCAAGCAGTGTTTAAAAGAATACAATTTGTGTGTTGTTATTTCAGGGCATAAGCTAGCCAGGCAACCAGGAGCTGGGGCAGCAGGAATGCAACCCGCAGCTCCCACAACACCACATGCTGCTGGAATGAGACTCCCAAGCTTCCTGGTGACCAGTTAGTACCTCACCTTGGAGCACAGGGTCCTGTTGTACTGGGCTCTTGCTTGGAAGGTTTTTTTGGCCATATCCAAACGGGCCATGGTGTTTTCCCTCCAACGATGTAATGCCCACCTACAAAGACATGGGCCAGGTGAGAAGAGTGACCCCAGTTTGGAGGTCTGGGAGACTTCTGTGAATCACCCTTACTCCTCTCCTGGGTAAGGACTCTGCCTGAAAGCACCTGTTCCATTGTCCCTCAGGCTCATGCTCTTGTCTGCACCCAACAACAGATGCTCAGTGTCTGCTCTGTGCTAGGTACTAGGCGGGACTAGGCACCAGCAGTACACCAAGCCATCACTGAGTCTTCAGGAGTTCTCGAGATAAAGACAACACAGCTGTAACCAAATGGCAACAATTCAGGTGATTCACATCGAGATAAGAGGCATATGAACCCTAGTGCCTACTTGCCAGAGGCCTGCTTTCTCATTCTGGTCTCTCTGAGGGACTACATGGAGCTTTGTGGGACTGCACAGGAGTGGCAGTGTTAAAGTCCACAAGGTCCAAGCCTACACTCAGCTAGAACAGCATGTGCGGAGCAAATGTAGAGGGAAAGGGAACGGGTTGTCCACCTGGAAAAGAGTGAGTTCAGAGCTTGGGTTATAGGACCCTCCAGTGGTGAGAGGTAGAGATGGTCCTCACGGAGTAACTCTAGAGGGGCAGCTGGAAGGGACTGTCTGGGAGCTGACAGAGGACTGCAGACTCCACACAGGAGTGGGCACAAGATATTAGGTGTGAGGCAGGGACAAAAGAATGCTCAGAGCAACAGGACAAGTGGGGTCCATGTGGGTCTCGGGTGAGGTGTCTTAGTGTCTCAGCTGTCTTCCAAGGTTACCCTGCACATGGGAGACCAGGATATGCTGAGGTGAGCCAGAAAATGCAGAACTTGCAGCAAGAAAGCCAGAGCTCCCACTTGAGCAGACTAGGCAGTTGTCTGCATGGCCTGAGGCAGAACTGCCCCCATCCCTACCTGACTCAGCACTGGGGACTCACCTCAGCAGCTGCCTGTTGTGCCACCTCTCCCTGGCTGCCACCTCCTGTAGCACATTCCTCACCCTGTCCTGGTAAGTCTGTGGGAGATGAGGAGGTCACTGGAGGCCACCCTTCAGCCATACTTCTCCTCGTACAAGAAGTACGTTGCCCAGAGCTCTCAAACAGTAGGGAGAGGTTGAAAGCCCCCATCCCAAGGCCAGTACCCCCTCCCACTGTAATGTTCCACAAGGTCCAACTCTGAGCTAGACTCATATAGAAACCAGCTTTCCAGGAAGGCTGATAACCCAGGCAGCACTTTTTGGGTACTGTTCTGTTTGAGCCTTGCCAGATGACAGGAGGGACATGAACAAAGAACACTACCGAAAACTCCCACCCCCAAGCAGGGAGACCTGGAAAAAAGTGCTGGCTCCTACCAGCCACTTCTGCAGAGTCCTGTGAAGCAGGGTGTGCTGACTGTGAAGAGCCGCCCGCCTCAGCTTTCGCTGCTCTTCTGTCCTCAGAGCCAGGCACTGTGCACAGGAAAGAGTGGGTACTGTGGGCCCTGGGGCTGGGGGAGGTTCACTGCAGCACTGTTTCTATGTTACATTCTGAGAGCTCACGTAAGGGGGATATACTAACTGAGCCTCAGTCTCATCCATCCATCCATCTCCCTAGGGGTTGGTGGGTATCAAACGAGCAAGTGTCCAACAGGAAATGCTGGACAGGGGCTGGCTTCAATGTTACACCCTTAGCAGAGTTTATGTGAATGCCAGGCCAAGATCTTTACAGTAAGTTCAGATAAGAGCAGCCGGACACATTAAGGACAAGAAACCTTGAGTCAATCCCTCACAAAGTGAGCTTGCACTGCCCAATGTGCCTTTGACCAGAGGAACTGTGGAGGAGCCTATCTGCTTGCTCTGAGTCATGCAGACAAACAGCTCCACCTGTCCAAAAGCCACACTCAGGCTGTGCCCCTGCTGAAACCGTACCTTGCTCCACATGCTCCAGGACCAACGCAGGAGCCTTGCTGAGTGGAAGCGTGCAGCCAGTGTCCTGCCCATCCTCCTATGGGGAAACAGAAGAAGCTCAGCAGGGTCTAGAGCACAGGGGCCTCAGGACTCCCTCTGCAGACCTGGGAGTGAGAGCTGTCTAATGACCTGGGCCTTTCTAGGAAAGGGCACAGCAATTCAAAATTTTGCAAGCAACCTCATGGCTTCAAGGCCAGACAGCTCTGCCTTAGACACATAGGCTGTAAACATTCCCCACTGTAGTCTTGTGGTCTTGTAAAAATTGCCACAACCTGCCCGCCAGTCAGATGTCAGCCACCTGATGGGCTCATTGCTCTATGTGCCGTGACTGACCGCAGTCACTCTCCATGGACTCTGAGCATGAGAGCACACGGATGGAGCCCAAGGTGCTGTCCCTGTTTCAGGCTGAATTTCTGGGACACATGACTATGGGTGGACACTTGAAGTCGCTGCCAAAGCTGGCCCAAGGTGGGAGGGCTCTGTAGTAGAATGCTGCTCACTCTGTTCTCAATCCTTGGGCACTCTCTCTCCAGACGCAGAAAGCCTTCCTGAGCAGCCTGCTGTGGTGGTGAGCACAGGCCATGGTTTGCCGCTCCCGCTCTTGGTGACATGCTGCTGCCTGCTGGTGCCACATGAACCAGGACCTCCGCAAAACCTGCTGCTCTGCCTGCAGTATAGCCTGAGACAGGATAGGAGGAAACAGTCCAGTCCAGGAGGAGAGCAGATCAGAGGCTAAGGGAGAATCTGTGACCAGTAAAGAACGGCTTCCCTAGGCTGCCTGTGAATGTCCAGATAATCCCAGGCTCAGGAGCACCAGGCAGGAGCCTGGCAGGGTAGGCTGGAGTTTGTGCAGCTTCCTGAAGAGCAGCCCAGGACAAGTGCTTAAATGGATCCTGCCCTCAAGAACCCAAAGAGAGAGCTACACACCATTCTCTCGGCCAAGCGGTTTTCTCGATGTTGAGACATCTTCTGCTGCCAGATAGCAAATACTTGCTTCTCTAATGTTTCCCTAAACACACGAAAATGAGAAAAACGGACTAAAAGTAAAGCACTTACAAAAGAAAGACAAACAGATCTAATCGAGGCTGGTTTGGCTCCTTGACCTTTATAATTCTGTGCATGACTATGGGTCTAAGACAGTGGCTCTCAGCCTTTCCCAATGCTGCCACCCTTTAACACAGTTCCTCATGTTGTATGACCCCAACTATAGTTATTTTTGTTGCTACTTCATAACTGTAATTTTGCTACTGTTATGAATTGTAATGTATATCTCTGTGTTTTCTGATGGTCTTGGGTGACCTCTGTGAAAGGGTCATATTTGACCCCTCCAGTGGGTCACAACCCACAGGTTTGAGAACCACTGTTCTTAGACTCCAAAAGACCATATCTTACAGAATAGGAGCGCAATACTTTAGGGAAATTACACATTGTGAGGCTCCATCAAAGTTCTCATCACAGCACTAACAGCAAACTCAGTGCGCATGAGACAAGCGCAGAGGCAGACACATGCTGCTTCGTAATAAAGAGGGTAAGCCTGACTGATTTTCCTGCTACTTAAGTTCAAAAGGGTCTCATTACTGAAAGCCAGAGGAACCAGGGACTGGGGGTTGGGAAACCGGTGAAGCGAAGCCAAGGCATTATAGTTTGCAGAGTTGAATTGGAATTCTCTGTCCCAGACAGAAACTAACTACGTAGCATACCTGTGAAAACGCACTGCTCTTGTGTGCAGGACTCGACTGCGCTGGCGCCATCGCCAAAGTCTGTACCACATATGGAAGGCGGCAGGCAGTGCTCTTTGCTGGAAATGGCCATCTGCTCTGGCCCGCAGTAGCTAAAACAAAATGACAAATGGTTTTTGTGATTTACTTTTCTCAAATGAATGTTCAGAGTCACACTCTTCTGAGATAAGATTTGCTTCTCACACAAGTAAGAAATGTCATGTTTGATCTTTGCCAATTAGCTAGGTGAAAAATGTACCATGAGCTGGGTGTGGTGGCGCACCCCTTTAATTCCAGCACTCAGGACAAAGAGACAGGTAGATCTCTTTGAGTTTGAGGCCATCCTGATCTACATAGTGAGTTCCAGGACAGCCAAGACTACATAGAGAGATAGGCTTGAGTTGATCTGAACCTCACTAATCCAAAGGCCCTTAAACTTGGCAGCAATCCTCTACCCCTTGGGTGATAGCATTACAGGTGTGTGTCACCACACCCAGCTTCCAGATAAGCCCCAGAAGCATTCTGATGTGGTCAAAGACAGCTCATCCATGCAAAGGAATCAACACTCATCTGGTGAGCACTGTGCTGGGCTAAGACAGGCAGGCTATACCCTTAAGAAGTTAAGGCTAAAAATTCTACCAAGGAACTTCTACAACTCATAAACACTTTCAGCAATGTAGCAGGATACACGATTAACTCAAAAAAAAAAAATCAGTAGCCCTCCTGTACATAGACGATAAAAGGGCTGGGGAAGAAATCAGAGAATCAACACCCTTCACAATAGCCACAAATAGCATAAAATATCTCAGAGTAACTCTAACCAAACAAGTGGAAGACTTGTATGATAAGAACTTTAAATCTTTGAAGAAAGAAATTGAAAAAGACACCAGAAAGTGGAAAGATATCCCATGCTTGCGTAGGCAGAATTAACAAGTAAAAATGGCAATCTTACCAAAAACAATCTACAGATTCAACACAATGCCCAGCAAAATCCCAGAAAAATTCTTCAAAGACCTTGAAAGAACGGTACTCAACTTCATACGGAAAAGCAAAAAATTCAGGATAGCCAAAACAATCCTGTACAATAAAAGAACTTCTGGAGGCATTACAATCCCTGACTTCAAACTCTACAAAAGAGCTATAGTACTCCAGGACAGGCTCCAAACCACAGAGAAACCCTGTCTCAAAAAACAATAAATAAATAAATAAATAAATAAATAAATAAATAAATAAGAGCTATAGTACTGAAAACAGCCTGGTACTGGCATAAGAACAGACAGGAGGACCAATGGAACCGAATAGAAGACTTGAATATCAATCCACACATCTTCTAACACCTGATCTTTGGTAAAGAAGCAAAAAATATCAAATTTATTTATCAAAGCATATTTAACAAGTGGTGCTGGCATAACTGGATATCCACATGTAGAAGAATGAAAATAGATCCATATCTATCACCATACACAAAACTCAAGTCCAAATGGATCAAAGACCTCAACATAAAGTCAGCCACACTGAACCTTAAACAGGAGAAAGTGGGAAATACACATGAACGCATTGGCACAGGGAACCACTTCCTAAATATAACACTAGCAGCATAGACACTGAGAGAAACAATTAATAAATGGGACCTCCTGAAACTGAAAAGCTTCTGTAAAGCAAAGGACACGGTCAACAAGACAAAACGACAGCCTACAGAATGGGAAAAGATCTTCACTAACCACACATCAGAGGTCTGATCTCCAAAATATACAAAAGACTCAAGAAATTGGATACCAAAAGATTACATAATCCAATAAAAAAGAATGGAGTACAGACCTAAACAGGGAACTCTCAACAGAGGAATCTAAAATGGCTGAAAGACACTTAAGGAAATGTTCAACATCCTTAGTCATCAGAGAAATGAAAATCAAAACAATTCTGAGATTCCATGTAAGAATGGCCAAAATCAAAAACACTGATGACAACTTATGCTGGAGAGGTTGTGGGGAAAAGGGAACACTTCTGCACTGCTGGTGGGAATGCAAGCTCGTACAACCCCTTTGGATGTCAGTGTGGTGATTTCTCAGAAAATTAGGAAACAATCTTCCTCAAGACCCAGTAATAAATACCACTTTTGGGTATATATCCAAAGGATGCTCAGTTTTGCCACAAGGACACGTGCTCAACTATGTTCATAACAGCTTTCTTTGTCATAGCCAGAACCTGGAAACAACCTAAATACCCCTCGACTGAAGAATGAATAAGGAAAATGTGGTACATTTAAACAATGGAGTACTACACAGCAGAAAAAAATAACAACATCTTGAATTTTGCAGGAAAATGGATGGAGCTAGAAAATATCCTTTTGAGTGAGGTAACCCAGACCCAGAAAGACAATTATTACATGTACTCACTCATAGGTGGTTTTTAAACATAAAGCAAAGAAAGTCAGCCTACAAACCACAATCCCAGAGAATTTAGACAACAATGCGGACACTAAGAGAGACTTACATAGATCTAATCGACATGGAAAGTAGAAAGTAGAGAAAGACAAGATCTCCTGAGTAAATTGGGAGCATGGGGACTTTGGGGGAAGATTGAAGAAAGAAAGGGAGAGGCAGGGAGGGGAGCAGAAAAATGTAGAGCTCAATAAATATCAATTAAAAAAAAAAGAAGCTAAGGCTAGTCAGGTGTGATTGTGCACACCTTCAAGCCCAGCACTCAGGAAGCAGAGGCAGGTGGATCTCTGTGATTTCAAGGCCATCCTGGTCTACAGAGTGAGTTCCAGGACAGCCAGGGCTACACAAAGAGACCCTGTCTCAGAAAAAAACAACAACAAAAGAAGCAGTGGCTACAGGTTAACTGAAAAGAAAAGTTAGCATAGAGCTATGTTAATGCAGAGTGACAAGCAAGGGTTCGAGAGCGCACCTAAGCTGACAGAGTCGTGAGCTACAGAGAACTACAGGTACAGCAAGGAGCAGAAGCACACAGTCAGAAATGACAGAAGGCAGCAATGGAGACAAGACAGGAGCTAAGAAGCATCTGTGCCCTTAGCTCCCATTCCCATTCTATCCACAAATGTGCCAGTCTGATGGTAGCAGCAGATGATGTTGACAGGGGAAGGAGGACAGTGTCAAAACAACCAAGGGAGTGTAGCTTGTGTCATCCTCTTACCCACTGCCAAGGACAGATCATCATCAAATGCACCAACATCCCTACTAAGTGTCACTCTGATGTCAATATCTTCCATTTGGGGGCTAAAGAGATGACTCAGTTGTCAAGAGCAATTTCTGCTCTTTGGCACTCTCATCAAGCAACTCAAAACCAGCTTGTTGCTGGGCGGTGGTGGTGCACACCTTTAATCCCAACACTTGGGAGACAGAGGCAGGCGGATCTCTGTGAGTTCGAGGCCAGCCTGGTCTACAAGAGCTAGTTCCAGGACAGGCTCCAAAGCTTCAGAGAAACCCTGTCTCAAAAAACAAAACAGCACTAGTCCAGCTCTAAGGGATCTGACACCTTCACCTGCATATATCACACACACACACTTTTTAGTTACTATTTATTTATTTTTGGTTTTTCACGACAGGGTTTCTGTGTAACAGCCCTGGCTGTCCTGGAACTCACTTTGTAGACCAAGCTAGCCTCGAACTCACAGAGATCCGCCTGCCTCTGCCTCTGAAGAGCTGGGATTAAAGGTGTGCGCCATCACTGCCCAACTACACACACATGTTTTACAAAGTCTTCATTTAGCATTCCAGAAACCTGTGCCCAACTGTCCGAAATGACCTGCAAGTCACACTTCCCTGCTACCCTAGCTTATGGCTGAGGGAGCAAGAATTCTATTATACCCTTAATAAAGGCACAGTCTAAGGCAAAGCTGGTATGCAGTAGGCATCTCTTCCGTGGGGAGCAGGCAGGGTGGCACACTCCATAATACCAGCATTAGGGGAATGGGACAGGTGGGTACAGAAAACAAAGGGAAGTGAGTGAAGACCTAAAAGCCTGGGAGGAGCCACTCCTTACCCCCAACAGCGTCTATGTCTTCCAGCAATGAAGGAATGGGACTTGGGCTGGAGGAAACAACTCCATGGTTTTACAGTTCCCTCCAAATACAGTAACCCCAAAAACAGAACCAGGTCTCCTGGCATAGCCTTTCCCAACCATCTTCCCAAACTCAGAAAATCCCACTAGTAGGTGCTGAACTGCCTGCTTTGGTGTGCTTTGTACCTGCTGGCATCTTCTCTGGCGCACATATCGTAACCACACCCTGACACACTTGCGTAGGACTGTCATCCTGGAAGAAAACACAAGAAAACCAGAGAACTGTGTATTGGCACTGTCAGGTGTTGAGCTGTAAGAGTGTACTGTTTATAAGGCAGCTGCTTCTAGGTACAGTTACTTCCTGAGGGTTCAGGGCACCCCAGGGCTTACTGCTTACTGGTTACATCCTCGGAGAGAGGAAAATGAAGAACTTACTAACATGAAGTCATCATCTCCTGACCTTGGGCTTTGGCTGGTTTTAAACTTCCAGCATTTTCTTGAGGTCTGTTTCGTTGATTTTTTGCAGGGCTTCACCTATGCCAAGCAAGTACCCACTGCTGAACCACACTCTAACCCCTGGCAGCTCACTGGGAACCTAATTAAACCACCAAGCACAGTGCGTCTGGGACTTAAGAGAGGACACCTCCTGTTACAGCACCCTTGAGGGTTTATTAGGACTCTCAGCACACAGAGATACTGAGTGCGATGATACATGCTTGGCCTTGTATGCCAGGACTTAGAATAATGGCACCTTGACAACTCTGAGTCAGGCTTTTTTTTTTGTTTTTTTAAATTTTATGGGTGCTTTTAAAACCACAGGACACAGATGTATCTCAGTGGTGGAGACCTTGCTTAGCACGTGTGAGGAACTAGGTTCAATCCCAGCGCAGAAAAAAAAGAGAGAGAGATAAATCTTATGTGTGTAAGTGTTTCCCTGCATGTATGTATGTGCACCACATGTGTCTGGTGCCCATACAGAGCACTGGGTCCCCTGGAACTAGAGTTACAGATGGCTGTGGCCACCATGTGCATTCTGGGAACTGATCTGGGTCCTCTGGAAAGGCAGCCAGTGCTCTCCAGTACTGAGCAATCTCTCCAGTCCCAAATATTAGGATTCTTATTGACTCATTAAAGATATGCTCTGAAGCTGGGGATACAGTTTTGTGGTAAAACGCATGCTTAGCATGTGAAAAGTGCTGGGCTGGATCCCTAAAACAATAAGTAGATAAATAGTAAAAAAAAAACAAAACAAAATTGGACCAGTAGCTGCAAGTTACACTAATGACACTGGAGGTGAAGGTCGAGACATTATTTAACATGATGAACGTCTCTGCAGCAAGAGTCTGGGCTAAGGGGCTGGAGGAAGACAGCCTCGCAACTTTTATTTCCATTTCTATATATTTTTAATTTTTCTTCATAGATATTTACTTAAAAATAAATGTATTTGTTAGGCAGAGGCAGCACACTTCTTTAATCCTAGCACTCAGGAGGCACAGGCAGGTGGATCTCTGTGAGTTCAAGACTAGCCTGATCTACAGAGCGAGTTCCAGGATAGCCATGGCTACATAGGGAAACCCTGTCTTGAAAAACAAAAATAAAGCTGGGCGGTGGTGGCGCACGCCTTTAATCCCAGCACTAGGGAGGCAGAGGCAGGCGGACCTTTGTGAGTTCGAGGCCAGCCTGGTCTACAAGAGCTAGTTCCAGGACAGGAACCAAAAGCTACAGAGAAACCCTGTCTCAAAAAAAAAAAAAAAAAAAAACAAAAAAAAAACAAAACAAGAAAAACAAAAATAATAAAATAAAAAGATGTATTTAATAGAATGACTGGCTCTTAACAATCAAGGATATTCCTTATTTCCAGGAAGACCTAGCCCCAAATATCATCCTAACCTGACATTAAAATCTTTCGCTGCAGTGCAGGAGCTCAAACTCACCTTCCCTATGTTAAGCAAGCACTTTGCACTGAGCTACATCACTAGTCACAGTGGACAAGTACCAAAGGCCTGCAGAAGAATGGAGGCAGTGGTAGTGATCAAATAGGCACATTCAGAGGTGGACAAGATCCAATGCAAATTGCATCATCTCACCTCCCACGTGACCTGCCAAAAGCAACCACACCCAGGAGCCATTACTAATAGTGTGAACTTCACCAAGATAAACCCCTTATATTTTTTGTTTGCTTGCTTGTTTGTTTTCTGTTTTGTTCTAGGTGACAGTCCTATGCAAGTATGATACGTGCACAAGAGAAGATGCAAGCAAAGATACACACAGGTCTCGCTGTGCATCCCTGACTGCCCTAAATCCTGCTATGTAGACCAAACTGGTCTTGAACACACAGAGATCCACCTGCTGCTGTCTCCTGAGTACTAAGACGAGGGGCCTAGTCCACACCTGGCTAAAAGGCCTTTCTGAGTTGAGAAGCTAACTCATGCCAGAGTAGTCACTTCCTCCTGAAAAACCCTGTCAGAATTACCCGGGGTCCCTAGTGAGCCCACGGCTGAGCTGAGCTCCTACCTGTAGTGGGTCCAGGCTGCATGCAGTGAGGAAGGCTGCATTCTCTCTTCCCTCAGCTCAAGTTGACACTGCCAGAGGTTCCAGAACCTACGAAGCAGCTGCAGAATGGCAGGAAGAAAACAAGTGTATCATAGTGAGAAGTGAGAGGAGGCCTCTGAGTGTAAGTGCCACCCCCCAGCACACTGTGACCTCCCACAGGGAGCAGCCCAGTCACACTGCTGGCCTAGGGAGCCATGCTCTGGGCCAGTATAAATGGCTCTTCAAGTAGACAGCCACATAAAAACAAGTCTGGGTGTTATAGAAGAATTTTTTTTTTTTTTTTTGGAAACAGGATCTCACTATGTAGCCCAGGCTTAAACACATGATTCCCTTGTCTCCATCTCTCAAGCGCTATGATTATAGATACTGTACTATGCTGCTCAGCAGACAGTACCTTTTTTTTTTTATTTTAAATGGATCTCTATTTATTATGCATGCAGTGTTCTGCCTGCAAGTATGCTCAAACACCAGAAGAAGACACCAGATTCCATTATAGATGGTTATGAGCCACCATGTGGTTGCTGGGAATTGAACTCAGGACCTCTGGAGAAACAGCCAGTGCTTTTAAACTCTGAGGCATCTATCAAGCCCTGTAATACCATTTTTCAAAGTCATTTTAAAAATTAAAACTCTTGGGCTGGAGAGATGTAGTAATAAGAGCGGCGGGGCTGCGTTCCCAGCACCCCGGCCACCTGCTTGGCTAGCTTATGCCCGAAATAACAACACACAAACTGTATTCATTTAAACACTGCTTGGCCCATTTCTATCTAGCCTCTTGTAGGCTAACTCTCGCACCTGGACTAGCCCATTTCTTATCATCTGTGTAGCACCGCTCTTACCGGGAAGATTCTAGCCTACGTCCATCCTGGGTCAGAGCTTCATTGCGTGCATCTTCCCAGGAGCGGGGAGCATGGCGTCTCTCTGAGGCATCTGCTCCCAAGAGGAGAGCTGTGGAGTCTGAGCTCACTTCCTCTTCCTCCCAGCATTCTGTTCTGTTTACTCCACCTACCTATGTTCTAACTGTTATGGGAGGTCCTCCCACTCCTCCAGCCTATCGCCGCTGAGATACCAGCCCATTGGGGCGTGGTCTCTCTCCCTTTAAAAAAGCAGCCACTTCCCTCTCCTCTCTCTCTTCACTTCCTGCTCCGCCGGCGACTAGACTCCCTTCCTGGTTGTGCAGAGGGCTGACGGTGATCTGTAAGTTTTTTCCCCTTTAAATAAATACCACCCTATTAATCATAATTCCAAACTGGTGTGGCATTGTTTATGACTTACGCCTTCATCTAACCAATAAAATGGGCCAAGGCAGTTCCTTTATTAGCCAATGACCTTCCTCCATCAGAGAGATGGCTCAGAGGATAAGAGCACTGGCTGCTTTTCCAGAGGTCCTGAGTTCAATTCCCAGCAACCACATGGTGGCTCACAACCATCTGTAATGAGATCTGTCGCCCTCTTCTGGGATGCAGGCATACATGGAGGCAGAATGTTGTATACATAATAAATAAATAAATCCTTAAAAAAATAATAAAAAATAAAACTCCTTACATATTGGCACTTACGAAGTTGCTGTCAAAGTGTTTAACTTCCATGTCTAACCCTCTGGGTCTACTGTCTCATTTATAAGAACTACACAGATACAGGAAAATTAAGTGATATAAAAAAGGAACAAACAAGCCAGGCATGGTAGCACACACTTTTAATCCCAGCACTTGGCAGACAGAGGCAGGCAGGTCTCTGTGAGTCTAGCCTACGGAGCAAGTTCCAGGACAGCCAGGGCTGTTACACAGAGAAACCCTGTCTTGAAAATAAAAAAATCAAAACAACAACAACAAAAACAAAAAAGAACAGACATATTGAGAATGAGGATATAATAAAAACAACTAGCCTGATGTCTTCAAAGAGCCAAGGTCATTGTCAAGGAAAAGGTATACATTATGCTAAGTGAAATACGCCAGTCACAAAAGAACAAATAGTTAATGATTCTCTTTGAAGTCTTCAAAACATCAAACTGATAGGGAGAGAAAGTAAAAAAGTAGCTGCCAACAGAACAATGGAACTGGTGGTCCATGTGTACAATGCAAATTTGGTTGTGTTTTTAAGAGTCAGAAGTCCTGGCTGGTCTAGAACTTGCTATCAAAATAGTATATTTTTGGTCCAGCAAGATGTTGAAGTGGGTAAAGACACTTGTGATGCAAATCTGACCCAGCTGAGGAACATATGAACATAGGAACCCATACCATGGAAGCAGAGAGCCAGTTTCTGAGCACCTCCTTCCCTTACTTCCTCCTGCCCCCCTCCACACACACACATATACATACATACACATACAGACATAAATGTACAGTTTTTTAAAAATTACAACTTTTATGTGTGTTGCTACAACTCAAAAACATAAGAACCGGGGACTGGAGAGACAACTCAGCAGTTAAGGTACTTGCTGATATTTTAAAAGACCAGAGTTTGGTTCCTAGCACCGACATCAGTTGGCTCACAACAGCCTGAAGCTCTAGCTTTGGAGAATGAGGAGACATGACCATGGAAGCACAGTCATGTGTTCCCGTGGCAGAGGCGGGGGGAGGAGGGGCAGGAAGATGGAAGGGGAGACAGTTCCAGGTTATATGGAAAGGCTGTCTTCGGACAGACAAATGAGTAACAACAAATGTACCATGTGAGCCCTGACTGAATCCTAAAGTGAAAAGACAATCTGAGGGACAATTGTGGAAATCTGAAAAGGACCTGGATGGCAGTAGAAGACTGCTGTTAATTTTGTTAGAAATTATAAAGATCTGTGGTATGTAAAAAAAAATTGCTTGTTTGGGGTTGATTCATGCTGAAGTATTTAAGTGTTTTTATAACTTTCTTTGAAATTGTTTGGAAGAAAATTTGAAGCAAATATTTAATGAATATTGAATCTAAGCAGTACATAGACCATTATACTAGTTCTTTCTGTTTTACTATGTGCTTATTTAAAAAAAAAAAAAAGGAAGAAATCGACACTCAGAGACAAAACCAACAAAGAGAGTCATTGCCCTTGGTGAACACACACAGGGTTCAGCAGTTTATATTACCTGGGGTGCCCTGAACAGGGTGAAAAGCGTAATCATCTGGGCCGAGTACTGATTTTCTTTCTTTCTTTTCTTTCTTTCTTTCTTTTTTCTTTCTCTCTCTCTCTCCTTCCTTCCTTTCATTATTTTTGTTTGTTTTCTTTTTTGAGACAGTTTCTCTGTGCAGTGCTGTCTGTCCTGGAACTCACTTTGTAGACCAAGCTGGCCTTGAACTCTCAGAGGTCCACCTGCCTCTGCCTCCTGAGTATGGGGATCAAAGGCATGCGCCACCACCACCTGGCAAGTACTGATTTTCTTAGTAGACTGGAGTGAGGTGGGGTGAGTGGAGAGCCCTAAAAGGCTAAAACAAATTTCTCTATTAGCAGATGCAGATTAACAAAGAAAATAGGCATTGCTATTTTGGAGTCTAAAGTGTAAATGAAGTGCCATGCACAATGTGCACACATATAATTACAGGACTCCGGAGTACTGTGAACTCAAGACCAGCTATACAGTGAGTTCGAGGCTGGCCTGAGCTAACCACACAGCAAGGCCCTGTCTGGGGGGGCAAGTCTCACCGTAGTATCACGCAGCTGGTGAGCAAGGTTCCTTCTTATTCGCCAGAGACGTGCCTGGGTCACATTATCTTTTAAGGCTCTGAAGCAAGAATGCTGCACACAGAAATGACACGGATTGAAAAGAAGCATCAGTGTCTGCAGACGTGTGAACAAGGAAAGCAGCATCGGAAGCCTCTGCGGTTTCTCTGGAGTTTCTCTACTTTGTACCTAATAGAAGCGAACCTACCTAGCTCTCAGTAATACTGGCTTCACACAAAAACACGCCCTCTGTTCAGTCACCTCTGAACAGGAGACTGACTCCCCATGACCCACAGGAAAAAGAATTCTAAAAAGGTTGAACACTGGGTGGGTATAACACCCATGCTGTTAGTCCCAGACTTGGGAACCCCCTAGAGTTAATGTGTATATTCATTTGCATAACTATAAATGTGGCTTGTCAGAATAAACTGAGTCTGTGATGAAGGATACCCATTGTCAACTTGATGGCAGCTAGGACCGGGTGGGATCAGGCCTCTGGCCCCACCTACTGGGGGACTGGTTCACAGAAGTGTGCAGACCCACCTCACTCCTGGCTGGGATCCAGGGCTGCATGCATAGAGAAAGGCAGCTGAGCAACTTAACCAGCTGTTTCAAGTTCCTGCTGCCTTGACAGACTGTACCTTCAACTGTGTGCTTAAATGAATTCTTGTCATCTCTGACTTGCTTTTACTGGGATATTTTATCACAGAAACAAAAGACACTAGAACCCTTGGGTCCACATTCCCTATTCTGTCACTACCTAAGCAAAGCACCAGAGGGAAGAGGCTGGATTGGGTCAGGGATTTCCCAATTGTGTTCTGTGGAGCAGCAGAGGCTCCTAAAGTCTCTGAAGGCCAGTTCCTGAGGTGGGGACAGTCCACAGGACAGGACCCAACTCTCCAGACCTTGATTCAGACTTAGGATCAGGACTTCTGTCTGTGTTATACACTGGGTCTCTGCCACTCAAAAGAGGCTGACTGTAAAGCCCCAGGATCATATCCCCTCGGAGGTCCCTTAACAACTCCACATCCCTGACTCCCAGTTTCAAAATGTGAACACAGACTACAGCCACTCAGAACTGACTGCACACAGGGGCTAGTATAAGGGAGGAGTGCTAAGTGGATGCCACCACGGCTGCCCCAGACCCCGGTACTCTTATTACCAGGAGGTAGTGCCGGTGGTGTTCTTCTGCCGCTGCATGCTGGGCAGCCCCTTCTGCCTGCAGCAGCATGTCTGCAGAAATTCCGTTAAGGCCTCCAGTCTCACAAGGCTCCTGGCCCGACACAATAAGAATGCTTCCTGTGAGCCACCTAAAGGGCATGGCTTGGGGTGGGAGAGATGGCTCAGTGGTTAAGAGAGATGGCTTTTACTCTCAAAGCGTCGGGGTTCGATTCCCAGCACCTACAAAATGGCTCACAACCATCCATAACCCCAGTTCCAGGGGATCCAACAGGCACACATGGTGCTCATACATGCATGCGAACAAAATATTCATACACATAAAGGGCATGGCTCTAGCATAACAGGCCTGCTAGGTAGGCTGATAACCACCTGTCTCCTTCTGGCAATTCAGGGAAGCACAGAGGAATGCTAACAAAGAGCCAGGTCATGCCTCCACCCTCTTGACACCCATCCAATGAAAGGCAGAGTCTGAGGTAACCTGCCACCAAGTTCAACAAGCATTTGGAATCATCACCGAGCCAGCAGCCTTGATGGTTTGGCATCATGATCCGGTAAGATGATTGAGCTGGGAGCGTTAGATATTTTCATATCTTTTCTAATCTCGTAATCCTCACATACTCAGCTAAACAACCCATATGCTCTGTTCCTGAACGTCTCTCACGGCCTGCTTCTCTTCTGCCCAGCACCTGATTTGTCCCTCACATGAGTCCTCACAAAGCTGGGCTCTCTGGGCAGCCTCTCTCCTCTAATCTAGGCCCATATTCTTTTTAAAAACATCATGTATGGCAGGGGGCGTGCATGCCTTTAATCCTAGCACTTGGGAGACAGAGGCAGGTGGATCTCTATGAGTTCGAGGCCAGCCTGGTCTACAGAGTGAGTTCCAGGACAGACAAAACTACACAGAGAGAAAAAAACAAACAAACAAAAAAAAACCCTGTCTAAAAAACCAAACCAAACAAAACAAGACAAAAATAAATAAATAAAAATCCCAAAACTTCAGATTACATTTATCTGTGTTTGCGTGCATGCATGTGCCACAGTGAAGGCCAGAGGACAACTTGCAGCCATCTGTTCTTTCCTCCTGCCAAGTGGGCTCCAAGGTGCAAGCTCAGGTTATGAGGCTCGGTAGCAAGCTATCTCACTGGTTCTAGGAACATCTTGGCTAAAGCACAAATTCAAGGGCAATGATTCTTATGGAAAACTTCCCAGGATAAGGAGTAAATCCCTGAGTGTGGCACACAGGGCTCTATGGGAGGTCCCAGACCACAATGACTGTCCCATGAGCCATACTCACCACACATTTTTTTTTTTTTTCTGAGACAGGTTCTCACTATGTAGCCTTGGCTGGCCTGGAACTCATTATGTTGACCAGGTTGGCCTCAAACTCAGAGATCTGCCTGCCTCTGCCCCAAGTGCTGAGATTCAAAGTGTGTGCCATCATGCCTCACCAGTAAACCTGGGTAAACACCCAGCCTCTGCTAAAATTTATGGTCACCTAGGACTTACATTCAGTTCAGATGTGATTCCTTACTTGAACCTCCTGGGAGGCCAGAAATCTTTTACTTTATTATTATTTTTGTTGGTTTCTTTAGAGACAGGGTTTCTCCGTGCAGCTTTGGAGCCTGACCTGGAACTCACTCTGTAGAACAGGCTAGCCTCGAACTCAGAGATCCACCTGCCTCTGCCTCCCGAGTGCTGGGATTAAAGGTGTGAGACACTACCACTGGGTACTTTTTACTTTAAAATACAAAACAAAAAAGTCTGAGATAGAGTCTGGATGTGTAGTCAGGCTGGTCTAGATTTAAGATCCTTCTGCCTCACTGTTCCTGAGTGCTGGGTACACAGGCTTGGTTATGGGTCAAGCCCTTAGGAGCTCTATCACTGTCAAGACCATTTTCATATCTCTTTTCCCACTGGACAAGGAGTGCTATGAGTCTTTCGTTTCCCTCAGGTGCTTAGTTTGTCTGTAAATTTGGCCAGCCAAAATCACTGGGGAAAGGGACTCTATCTGGGAAGATACCTCTATCAGATTGGCCTGTACCAAGTCTATGGGACATTTTCTTGATTGATGACTGATGTGGTAGGGCCCAGCCCGTGAGTGGTGCCAATGCTGGGCAGGTGGTCCTGGGTTGTTTAAGAAGCAGGCTGAGGGTCAAGTAGGGGTGGCACACACCTTTAATCCCAGCACTTGGAAGGCAGAGGCAGGTAGATCTCTGTGAGTTTGAGGCCAGCCTGGTCTACAATATGAGCTCCAGGACAGGCTCCAAAGCTACACAGCGAAACCCTGTCTCAGGAAAAGAAGAAGTATGTTGAGCAAGTCTTACAGAGCAAACCAGTGAGCATCGTTCCTCTCCTTCAGTTCCTACCCCAACTTCTCTTCATGATGGACTGTGAGCTGTCAGATGAAACAAACCCTTTCCTCTCCACTTAGCTGTTGGTCATAAAGTCTATCACAGCAAGAGAAACCTACCCAAGACACCAAATACAAGAACTTAAGTTGGAGTTCAACATGAATCAAGACTTGGATGGACAAATGTAAGGATGTGTAGCTGAGGTATCCAGATCCACACACTGTGGACATTCTGGGGGAGGAGGGGAGCAGCATGATGAACAGGCCAGTGCAAAGGATACAGTGCTTCCAGTGTGCAAAGGCCCTCCGCAGGGCCATCTTCTGGGCCAGTTTCTCCACCAAGGCCTGGTGGGCAAACAAGCTCTGCCTCCACTCCCAGGCCCACTGCCAGTCACAGAAATGTAACTGGAGCACAGTGACACGATGGAATTGTGCAGCCATTTCTGCAATAGAGAAATAATTCTTAAGTACTGCTCCCCACAGCAGGGAAACGACACAAAGGCTGGACCCTACTATTGACAAAGAGCAGGGATTCAAGAGCACTCCCATGAAGAATCCTTATTACAGGTTGACGATGTAGCAGAGAGAAAGTGTGTGCTTTAAATGTAAGGCTCCTTGGGTCAACCCCAAACACCACACACAGAAGAGTTGTCTAGACACTAGAAGGTTATTTGACCTCTAGAATTCTCTTTCCAAGACAAAAGGGCTGCAGTTTTAGGGAAGTGTGATGGCTAATCCTGGTTGCCAACTTCACACATCTGGGAAGAGGGAACGGTTGACTATCTCCATCAAACTGGACTGTGGCATGTCTGTGACGCCAGTGGTTATTTTTTGTTGTTTTTTTCACTAGTATAGGGGGGCCCAATCCATTGTGGACGGTACCATCCCTGAGCAGGAGAAATATATTTTCTCCCCAAGGGCAGAGGCTGCTAGTTAGCTGCTGATATGTAAGAATGATAACCAACACTTTCAAACACTGTCTGATTTTTGTCTCTACTTGGAGGGTTCTGGATAGGCTCAGTCTCCAAGGAAACAACATACCACTCCAGTGATTATGTTGGCAAAAGACTCCTGAGCTTTCAGCCATACTGACCCTAGCTGCCAGATACACGTCCTTCCAACACTAATCAGCTGACAGCTGGTAAATTGAGCCCTCCAAAGTAGGCTGTTGTTTGAGGCATGTGATTGAAGACCATCATGCTAAAGAGCCTAACAGCCTTTGTGCTCCAGTCTTGGGCAGCTGTGGAGTTGAGCTAGCTCCACTATGCTCTATGAGCCAATGTTGGTAGTCTAGGAGGTAAATGATCACTTGGACAAGAGCCTGAGCACCTAACCTAGGGGTACAGTGTTTGATTCGCTTCTGTGTAAACTCAACAAGCTTGCTTATAAAAAGCATCACAGATCATGCTCCTAGGGTGACCTGGACTAGCAAGCTGTTCTCAGTGACAGGGTCCTAAGGGGAGGAGGCCAGGAGATGAGAAGATAAAGACGACAGGAAAGCTGTGGTCAGGAAGACTTACATAAGTTGTCTTATGCCAAGCAGATTCCTGGTTTTCGAGAAGGAAAGCCTTGGGTCGATCTAATCCTTAACACTAGGGATTATTAACCCTAAAACTGTTTGGGAAACCAAACCACAATGATGGCACCAATGAGAATCCCACATGCCAAACTTGTAATATGTTAATTTTTTTCTTTCCTTTTCATTTAAACTTAAAATGTTTTAAAAAACATTTCAATAGGGGGCTGGAGAGATGGCTCAGTGTTTAAGAGCATTGCCTACTCTTCCAAAGGTCCTGAGTTCAATTCCCGGCAACCACATGGTGGCTCACAACCATCTGGAATGAGGTCTGGTGCCCTCTTCTGGCCTGCAGACATACACACAGACAGAATATTGTATACATAATAAATAAATAAATATATTTAAAAAAAAAAAAAACATTTCAATATCATGCTGGATGGTGATGGTCTTAGTTCTCAGGTGGCAGAAGTAGGTGGATCTCTGTTCGAGGCCAGCCTGGTCTACAGAGCAAGTTGCAGGACAGTCAGAGCTACATAGAGAGATCCTGTCTCGAAAAACCAAGATAAAAAATTTCAATACACAAATTATATGTATTTGCATAAGGGAGGACACATTCAAATAATCCAAGTATGTGTTGAGGGCTGGGCTGATCCAAGGCTTTCCCTGAGGCCATAAGATGTGGAGAAGGAACATAGCCCCTTGTCTAAAATCAGAAACGAGGTGACAGAGCCAGTTAGCCTGGAGTTAGGGCCTTGTGGGAGCTGTGGCTTCAGATCCACCATATGGAGCTGTGGTCAGCAATACCAGGCCACTGTGTGTTGTAAAACAGTAGTTAAAGATGCATTACATTTGTTTGTGCTGTGCAACATTTGTTTCATGATGCAAAGATGTGTTGCATTCTTTTATGTTGCATTTGCTTAACTCTGTGAAGTTGTGTTACTCTGCCTGGCTAAAACACCTGACGGTCTAATAAAGAATGAATGGCCAATAGCAAGGCAGGAGAAAGGATAGTGAAGCTAGCAGGCAGAGAGAATAAAAAGGAGGAGAGATCTGGGAAGAAAAGATCGAGGAGCAAGAAAAAAGAAGAGAGGAAGACTCCAGGGGCCAGCTACCTAGCTACATAGCAAGCCACAGAGAAAGAAGTAAAACAAGGTACATAGTCTGTCACTCCTGAAAATGTACCCACTCCTGAACTCAGCAATGAAGTTAATCACTAGCTGAAGTGCTGCTCAAACAGAGACACTGAAGAACGAGAGCCTTGGTTTGGCAGTCTCAGATCTCACTCTTACTCATGCTAGCTACAGCTTCCAAACCAGTGTCATTTCAAGGGACATCAGCACAGCAGCCAGGTTCATTAGGGCTGGCCTGACAGTTGGGGTGGTTGTCTCTGAGCTGAACTGGGTCTATTTGGGGAGTCTCATCACTGGGTACACCAGAAACCCTTTTCTGAAGCAACAGCTCTTCTCCTTGATTCTTTGCTTTGTCCTCTCAGAGATCTGGGGGCTCTTTTGCCTAAAGGTGTCCTCCTCATCATTGTCAACACACGAAGCTGCTGTCCCGACCCCACCTGACATAGCCCCTTCTCCCATGTCTCCTCTATTGTATATGTTCCCTTTCCTGTACCGTCCCAGGAAGTCTGGGAAAGTAATTAGCACAAGGTTTGACAGAGAGAAAGGTGATAAACACTGTATTAATAAGACAAAGAAAGCAAGTCATTCTAAAAATACAAGTAATCATTAAAACTGGCATTCTTGATAAAGAAGAAATACAATGTAAAAACAAGCACAATAGCCAGGCGGTGGTGGCACACACCTTTAATCCCAGCACTCGGGAGGCAGAGCCAGGCGGATCTCTGTGAGTTCGAGACCAGCCTGGTCTACAAGAGCTAGTTCCAGGACAGGCTCCAAAACCACAGAGAAACCCTGTCTCGAAAAACAAAAACAAAAAAAAACAAGCACAATAAAAAACTGTAGATATGATCATACCCATCACAATACGAAAAGTTAGCATTTGAAATTAAATATAAAAGAATCAATACATTAAGACTATTTGAATATAAGTTAGGCATGCTAGGGAAAGCCAAATGGAAATAAATGAGAAGAACCAAGGGTGATGTACTTTTCTAAATTTCCTGCTGTCCAAATTGTGGTGTAAGGCATTCGGTTTCCTCTTCATGGAGGGCCACAGGCAGTGGAGAGATTGCTCTGACCAGGCCAAGCTTGGAGGCCCAGGCTTCTTACTCACCGTTCTGCCATCTCTTTACCCTGCAGATGTGGAGGTACTGAAGCCAAGCCTTCAAAGATCTCTGCTTCTGACAGCACTGATGGTGTCGCACAGCAGTGACCACCTTCCCTCTTTCCTGCTGGCTATTTAGGAGCTGCTCTTGCCATCGTGACCATGCCTGAAAAGACCAGATCAATGTCATTCTCAGCCACACAGTGGGTTTGAGGTCAGCCTGGGCTATGTGAGATCCTGCCTCAAACAAAACAAAACAAACTAGAGGGAACAAAGAAGTTACAAACAAAAAAGAGAAGCTGTAAAAAGTAACTTACAGCCAGGTAAGGGAGCACACACCTCCCAGCACCCACTCAGGAGGATCTCTGAGTTAGGGCAAGCCTAGTCTGCAGAGCAAGTTCCATGACAGCCAGAGCTACAAAGAGGTGGGGTTGGGGAGGAGGAGAAGAAAGTAGCAAGTACATGATGGGTTTAGGGTGAAGCTTCCGAGCCCAGCTGCCCTGGTGACTTGGCTGAAGGAAGACATGGAGATGGCCTACCTACACAAGGGATGAAGACATAGATGCTAGGGAGCTGTGAAGGAAATGGATCCGATAGAACAAATGCTGATGTCAGCAGCTAGTGTGAAATTTCTATGATAGTTCCATGCAACCACAGATAATAAAAGTTTTGTGCTAAAAAAGGCATAATGGGGTAGGGGTAGGGATAGAAAGATAGTTCAATGGTTTTTGCTCTTACAAAGGACTCAGGTCCAGTTCCCAGCACCCATAGGCGGCTCAAAACCATCTGTAACTTCAGCTCCAGAGAATCTGTCACCCTCTTCTGTCCTCTGAGGTGCCAGGCACATACATGATGTACAGACATACAAATTTACACACACACATACACACACACACACACACACACACACACAACACACACACACACACAGAATAATGAAACTAAATGACACCCTGGGTGTAATACATAGTAAATCCAAGTTTACGATGAATGCAGGCCTGTCTTTTCCTTGGAAGTGGTACTGGGGATGCCGTTCTCTTACATTTCAGGAAAGGGAGCCTGTAAAGGTGAGAGTGGACAACAGGATTCCCTTAAAATTATTCAAAATGTGGACCTATGAGAAGGTTACATATAGGCAAAGATAACTCATGCCCTAGTTTGAATATAGAGATTTCTTATCTTTTTCTAAATCTGTTATACCTCTTACTTCCCTCCTCTTAGGTGAATATCATTCTTCCAAGTCCCCCCAAAAATGAGGCAGGGGGCTAGAGATATGAGTCAGTGATTAAGAGGGAAAACTGTTCTTGCAGAGGACCGGATTTCAGCTGCCAGCACCCATATTGGGTGTCTTACAACCACTTGTAACTACCGCTCTAGGAGAACTGGTGCCCCTCTGGCTTCTGTGAGCACCCACGCACATATGTATGTGTACATGTAAACACACACACGCACATACATGCATAAAGAAATAAATCTTTTAAAAAGGCAATTGAGAATTTTCTGCAGGCTGCACCAGGTAACTAAATCTGCCTGCCCCAGCTCTAGTCAAACTGGCCAAGCTCCAGTCAAAGGTCACCCTCACTATGGCTACATGCCATCTTCTCTTGCCTTCTCAAGTGTATCACTGGAAATGTGAACCTCTCCTATACCTTTGGCCTTCATTTTCTACTAGATTTGAGAAACCAGTGGACATATGTACTATTCTCCCACTCTATTTTGTTTGTTTGTTTTAAAGGCAGGGTTTCTCTGTGTAGCTCTGGATCTCCGGGAACTTGCTTAGTAGATCAGGCTGGCCTTGAACTCACAGAGGTCCTCCTTCCTCTGCCTCCCCAGTCCTGGGATTAAATCTGCCATCACAAGACAACTTTTTTTTTTTCTAAAATAAATTAAAAAAAAATGCCCTTCATAACCTGGAGAGATGGTTCAGGGGTTAAGAGCACTGGCTGCTCTTCCAGAGGACCTGAGCTCAATTTCCAGCACCTACATGGTGGCTCACAACCATCTGTAATGGGATCTGATTTTCTCTTCTGTGTGCATGAACAGAGTGCACATATATATAAAATAAATACATCTTTTTAAAAATGCCCTTCAGGATGCGACAATCAGAAACAGGTGACTAACAATGGCAATGGGTTTCTGATCCTACTGCACGTACTGGCTTTGTAGGAGCCTAGGCAGTTTGGATGCTCAACTTACTAGACCTGGATGGAGGTGGGGGTTCCTTGGATTTCCCACAGGGCAGGGAACCCTGGTTGCTCTTCGGGCTGAGGAGGGAGGGGGACTTGATTGGGGGAGGGGAAGGGAAATGGGAGGCGGTGGCGGGGAAGAGACAGAAATCTTTAATAAATAAATAAATTTAAAAAAATAAAAAAACCAAACAAACAAAAAAAGAAACAGGTGACTAGCCAGGTGGTGATGGTGCACGCCTTTAATCCCAGCAAAGACAGGTGTACCTCTGTGAGTTCAAGGCCAGCCTGGTTTACAGAGTGAGTTTCTGGATAGCCAGGGCTGTTACACAGAAAAACCTTGTCTTAAAAAAACAACAAAAAGGGGAGAGGGGCTAGAGAGATGGCTAAGAGGTTAAGAGCAATGGCTGCTTTACCTGCTCTTACAGAGGTCCTGAGTTCAATTCTCAGCAACCACATGGTGACTCACAACCATCGGTAATGAGATCTAGTGCCCTTTCTAGCATGCAGGTAATGCAGGTAGAACACTATGTACATAGTAAATAAGTAAGCCTCTGAAAAACAGGGCTGGAGAGATGGCTCAGTGGTTGAGAGCACTGACTGTTCTTCCAGAGGATCCAGGTTCAATTCCCACCACCAACATGGTGGTTCAGAACTGTCTGTAACTCCAGTTCCAGGGAACCAACACCCTCACACAAACATACATATGGGCAAAACACCAATGCAGTAAAAATAAAAAAATAAAAAAAAACAACAACCAAAAAAATCAAACCAGTGACTTTGCATTGGGCTCTGTATCAGACATAAAATTGTATTGTATGGTTTTATTTTTTTCCATTTCCTTTTAAAAGCTTTATGTGTACGGGCACAGGTATACTCAGAGGCCAGAAGCACTGGATCCCCTGGAGTTGAAGTTACAGGTGGCTATGAATCACCTTAACATCGACACTGGGAATGGAACTTGGTTCTTTGCAAGAGCACACTTTTTTTTAGATTTATTAATTTATTATGTATAGTGTTCTCACTGCATATATGTCAGCAGGACAGAAGAGGGCACCATATCAAAATGTACTGAGGGTGAACATTACATCTACAACTTTCAAGTGGCTCAGAAAAACTAAGCACAAGCCAGGCCCTGGGCACATGCCATCGGCATGTGGTGGAAGCAAGGGGCCCACAAGCTCAAGGTCAAGAGGGGACATGAGACACTGTCCAAAAACAAACAAACAAAAAAAAAATAAACAAGGGGCTGGAGAGAAGGCTCAGAGGTTAAGAGCATTGCCTGCTCTTCCAAAGGTCCTAAGTTCAATTCCCAGCAACCACATGGTGGCTCACAACTATCTGTAATGGAGTCTGGTGCCCTCTTCTGGTCTTCAGGCATACACACAGAATACACACAGAAAGAATATTGTATACATAATAAATAAATATTTTTAAAAAATCATCAAGAGAGAACTATATTCAGGCCAAGCGGTGGTGGTGCAAGCCTTTAATCCCAGCACTCGGGAGGCAGAGGCAGGTGGATCTCTGTGAGTTTAAGGCCAACCTGGTCTACAAGAGTTAGTTCCAGGACAGGCTCTAAAACAACAGCGAAACCCTGTCTCAAAAACCCAAAATAAATAGATAGATAGATAGATAGATAGATAGACAAATAAATAGATAAATTAATAAATGAGAGAACTATATTTATTCTTAAACTGGGTATGGGAGCTGCTTGTAATCTCAGGATTATTTAAGAGGCTGAGGCAGGGGCTGGAGAGATGGCTCAGAGGTTAAGAGCATTGCCTGCTCTACCAAAGGTCCTGAGTTCAATTCCCAGCAACCACATGGTGGCTCACAACCATCTGTAATGGGGTCTGGTGCCCTCTTCTGGCCAGCAGGCATACACACAGACAGAATATTGTATACATAATAAATAAATAAATATTTAAAAAAAAAAGAGGCTGAGGCAGGAGGATCAGGAATTAGAGTTCAGCAGGTCTTTTTTTTTTTTAAAGATTTATTTACTATGTATAAAGTGTTCTGCCTGCGTGTATCCCTGCAGGCAGAAGAGAGCACCAGATCCCACGATAGACGGTTGTGAGCCACCATATGTGGGAATTGAACTCAGGACCTCTCAAAGGGCAGTCGCACCTCTGAGCCCCACAGCATGGTCTTAACACCCTGAACTGAAGTGGGAGATGCCTCACATCTCTAACTCCAGCACTCAGGAGTCAGGGGCAGGAGGATCTCTGAGTGTGAGGCCAGCCTGGTCTGCAGAGAGAGTTCTAAGACAGCCAGGTCTACAGAGAGAAACACTGTCTTGAAAAAAGAAAAATTAAACAAACAACCCTGAATTTTTATTATTTTTAATTTTATTGTTTTTAATTATATATGTAGTATGTGTGTATGTTGTGTGGGTATGTGCATGTGTGTGCAGCTGTCTGAAAACCAGAGAAATTGGATCCCCTGGAGATGGAGTTACAGATGGTTGTGAGCCATCTGTATGGTGGTGAAAATTGAACTTTGGTCCAGGCTCCCTCCCTGCATTTCCTGAATATTTAAAAAGGAGTAAAAAATACATTTGCATGGTTGTTAAAACATGAAGAATGGCTGAACATGGTGGTTCACACCTTTAATCCCAGCACTCAAGAGGCAGAGTCAAGTAGATTTCTGTGAATTAGAGGCCAGTCTGGTCTATGTAATGAGGTCCAAGACAGTCAAGGCTACATAGTAAGACCCTGTCTCTAAAAAACAAAAACAAATAGCCGGGCGATGGTGACACAACTTTAATCCCAGCACTCAGGGAGGCAGACAGAGGCAGGTGGATCTCTGTGAGTTCGAGGCCAGCATGGCCTACAAAGCAAGTTCCAGGACAGCCAGAGATACACAGAGAAACTCTGTCTCGAAAAACCATAACAAAGAAAACAAAACACAAAACCCCATGGAAAATAGGATTAACTGGGTGAAGTGTACATATTGCCCCCCTTTTTTCTGCAATTCGGTATTTGCAGACACAACCCTTTAGCACCCTGAGCCCTGCGGCTGACACGAGCTCGCCATTTTGTAACTTCTCCCTAGCAGGCTTTCCTGAAAGCACTCCCTTGTGCTCACAGAAACTGCTTATCAAGTCTATCAACCATTTCCACGTGGCTCAGCCCAAAGGTCAAGTCTGTCCTCACCCTGCCTAACCTGGCAGAATGGCATCTGGCATGGCAGACACCTTCTCTGCTGGATCCCTTCAGGTCCTCAGTGTTCCTGCTGCCGACTTCACAGTGCCTGTCCCACAGCCTCTCCTGTCACTCCCCTTCACTGCTTACTCCTCCCTCAGCTGCAAATGCCATCTTCATTCAAGGACTCCCAAGGGTAGGATCCTACCTGGACCCTTCCCCGGTATTTCAGTTGTTACAGAAGCATCTGTACCTCTCTGTGGAGACTCAGGGAGTACCAGGCTCAGCATTCCGAGTGAAGAGCACAGCTTCCCCCAATCCTTCCCCACAGGCTGCTTCTCCTTCAGAAGTTCCATGTCAGTAAAGGGCAACTCCACTGTTGCAGGTGCTCAACCAAAACCAGTAGTCACCACAGGATTCCTTCCCTGACTTAATCTCCCCATGAGCAAATCCTATTAGTCACTTTCAAAACAGCCAGAACCTGAGTCTGGAGAGATAGCTGCTCTTTCAGAGGACTCAGGTTTGATTCCCAGGACCCACATAACATCCATCTGTAACTCTAGTTCCAGGTGATACTCTCTTCTGCCCTCTGTTGGCACCAGACACACACATGGTGCACTGACATAAATACATGCAGGGAGAAATTTACACATGTAAAATAAAATAAATAAATCATAAACACATACAAACACACACTCCAACTACCATCTTGCCAAAAATCTCACTTGAAATTTTCTTTCTTTCTTCTTCATCTTTTTGTTGTTGTTGTTGTTGGGTTTTTATGTTTTGTTTTTTCGAGAAAGGGTTTCTCTGTGGCTTTGAACTTTGAAGCCTGTCCTGGAACTAACTCTTAGACCAGGCTGGCCTTGAACTTACAGAGATCCGCCTGCCTCTGCTTCCCAAGTGCTAGAATTAAAGGCATGTGTGTGCCACCACTGCCCAGCATTGTTGTTTTGTTATTGTTGTTGTTTTGTTTTGTGTTTTTGAGACAGGATTTCTCTGTGCAGTGCTGGCTGTCCTAGAACTCACTCTGTAGTTCAGGCTGGCCTCAAACTCACAGAGGTTCACCTGCCTCTGACTCCTGAGGGCTGGGATTTATGTGTATGTGTGTGTCTGTGTGCAGGTAGGTATATATACCTGAGTTCAGGTACCTGAAAAGGCCAGAAGGCATCATATCCCCTGGAGTTGGAGTTATAGGTGGTTGTGAGCTGCCTAATGTGGTTTCTGGAAGCCAAATTCAGGTCCTCTACAAGAGAGTATGTGCTCTTAGCCACTAAATCATTTTTTCAATTTGTAAGACAGTTGATTTCATTTTATGCTTATGGGCATATGTCTGTGCGGGTAACCTCAGAGGCCAGGTGGGTTTTATTAACATATATTCATGCACGGAGTGGTGGGTTTCAGTCAGTGAGCACAGTCCTGCCACTTGGAGGCAAGAGGATTCAAAGAGGGCTGGAGAAATGGCTCAGTGGTTAAGAGCACTGGCTGCTCTTCCAGAGGTCCTGAGTTCAATTCCCAGCAACCACATGGTGGCTCACAACCATCTGTAATGAGATCTGGCGCCCTCTTCATGCAGGCAGAATGTTGTATACATAATAAATAAATAAAATCTTTTAAAAAAAAAAAAAAAAAAAAGGATTCAAAGATCATCCACTACTACATAGCAAGTTCAAGGCCAGCCTAGACCACGTGAGACTCTGATTCAAAAACTAGAAACCAAACACCTTGTAAGGGCAAAGCAGAAAGGTTGTTTTCTTTTCAGTCTTTGTTTCTACCTGCATTATTTTCTCATTTGCTGTAGAAAAACAACAATGAGCAGATAAGAACATATTTTAAACAGTTTCTAATCAACTTTGTGACCTCGGCTCTGCATGGAAATTTTTTTTGTTGTTTTTCGAGACAGGGTTTCTCTGTGGCTTTGGAGCCTGTCCTGGAACTAGCTCTGTAGACCAGGGTGGTCTCGAACTCACAGAGATCCGCCTGCCTCTGCCTCCCGAGTGCTGGGATTAAAGGCGTGTGCCACCATCGCCTGACTCTGCATGGAAATTTTAGAGAGCAGGTACACATTCCTAGAGCAGCGCCTGTCTGGCACAGCCCTGCCTTCTGCACTGCTCTCCCACCCCATCTCCCCAGATACACTCCCAACAAGCAGCAGCAGTGAGAAGCCTTCCTGTTAATTACATAGTTAATTACCAACGCTTGAGTGTGCCAGACAGACCTGCAGCTGGAGACTCTGGGCTCTATGCTTCACAGCTGCTGTGTGGAGAGCACGGTCAGCTTGGGCTTGTGCTAGTTGCCACCTCCACTTGCTCCACCAGAAACTGAAAGAGCAAACCAAAGGAGTTAGTGGGGGGGAGGGGGGAGACACAGAAAAGACAAGGACCATTAGGGCTGTGCTTCTGTTCAGCCCAAGTCTCTCCCTCACAGTACCATCTTTAACTGATGCCTGCTAGACCCACTGCTGCAAAGAAAAACAAAAATCAAGAGTAGTCCAGGGAATGAAGAGGTGGTTTATGGAGAAAAGGTGCTTGCCACCAAGTCTGATAACCTGAGTTCAATCCCAGGGACCTGTAGTGATATTTCATTTGTATTTTAATAAATAAAGCTTGCCTGAAGTTCAGAGAGTAACACAGCCACACTGGTCAGCCTTACAGTGGTGACACACACCTTTAATCCCAGTAGCCACACTAGTTGCCATAGAAACCAGGCTGTAGTGTTGCACTCTTTAATCCCAGCACTAGAGAAGAATTTAAGGCAGGAGGAGACAGCTCTTGGCTCAGTCTCATCCTGAGATTCCTGGAGGCAGGATCGCCATTTCAGACTGAGGTAGAGCTAAGAGCCAGTGGCTGGCTGTTTTGCTTTTCTGACCTTCAAGCTGAACCCTAATTTCTGTCTCTGAGTTTTTATTAATTATGCTACAGGGACCCACCATGGTAGGAGGGAACTGACTTGTGTAAGTTTTCTCTGACCTTCACAGGCATCATCCTTTTCTCACATATTAAATAACATAATGTTAAAAAGTTGAAGGAACAGAAACTAACATCAGAGCCAGTCTTAAGTACTATAAATTATCACCCACTCACTTGTTTGTTTACAGTACTGAAGATGAACTCAGGGCTGTGTGTGCCAGGCAAGCTACCAACCAACTAAGCAACAGCTGCAACCATCTGGTGCTCTGTAGTGAGGAGTGGCAGGCTGCATCCCGCCACTGGCTAGCTTTACCCCCCGAAATAATTACACGGAAACTGTATTCTTTTAAACACTGCTCGGCCCATTAGCTCTAGCCTCTTACTGGCTAACTCTCACATCTTGATTAACCCATTTCTAATAATCTGTGTAGCATCACGAGGTGGTGGCTTACCGGAAAGGATCTTAACCTGCATCCATCTTGGAGAGGAGAGCTATATCGTCTGCCTGACTCGGCTTCTTTCTCCCAGCATTCTGTTCAGTCTACTCTGCCTACCTAATTTTCTGTCCTATTAAAGGCCAAGGCAGTTTCTTTATTAACCAATGAAATTAACACATAGACAGAAGACCCACCTCCATCAGCGCTCTCTAGATCTTACCTACACAACTAGACAACAGCCCTAACCATTTGGCACTCTCTAAATCTCATCTACACAACTGAGCAATAGCTGCAACCATTTGGCGCTCTCTAGATCTTACCTATACAACTAGACAACAGCCCTAACCCTTTGGCGCGCTCTAGACCTTACCTATACAATTTAGTCTTCAAAAATGGTAGTGCCTACTATTAAAACTCAGATTTCATTAGAAAACTTGAAGGAAAAACAAAAGTGGTTTTCAGGTTTCCAATCCTGCGTGATGTCTCCTTCCTCCCTTCCCACCTCTTGTAGCCACATCTTTATCTTAGCCCTAGTCGTCTCTCTCTTTCTTTCTTTCTTTCTTTCTTTCTTTCTTCTTTCCTCCTTCTTCGTCTTCTTTTTTTTCCCCCCCTTTTTGGATTTTGGAGACAAGGTTTTTCTGTGTAGCCCTGGCTGTCCTGTAACTTACTCTGTAGACCAGGCTGGCCTTGAGATCTGCCTGCCTCTGACTCTGAAGTGCTGGGATTAAAGGCATGTACCACCACTGCCCAGCCCTAAATCATATTTTAAGGCTGAGATGGCTCTGATAGCAAGGTGCTTGCTGTGCAATCATGAGAACCTGAGTTTGGATCTCTAGCACCTACATAAAAACCCAGGTACAGTGACAAGCATCTGTAATCTCCACGCTACAGGGAGAGTGTCAAGATGGCTCCCTTGAAGATTGGTGGTTGGCCAGCCAGTTTAGCTGACTTAGTGAGTTCACTGAGAGATCCTTTCTTAAAAAGTAAAGTAGAGCCTGGCATGGTGGTGGTGGTGGTGAACTTGGAAGGCAGAGGCAGGAGGATTTTTATGAGTTTGAGGCTAATCGGGCCTACATATTAAGACCCTGTCTCAAAAAAAAAAAAAAAACAACAACAACACAAAAAAGGGTAATGGTGGCACATGCCTTTAATTCCAGTTAAGGAGGCAAAGGAAGGTGGATCTCTGAGTTTGACACCAGCCTAGTCTACATACTGAGTTCCAGGACAGCCAGAGCTACACAAAGAAAACCTGTCTCAAAAATACAAAGGTAGGGGGCTGGAGAGATGGCTCAGTGGTTAAGAGCACCAGCTGCTCTTCCAGAGGTCCTGAGTTCAATTCCCAGCAACCATATGGTGGCTCACAACCATCTGTAATGAGATCTGGCACCCTCTTCCGGCGTGTGGGTATACACGGAGGCAGTATGTTGTATACATAATAAATAAATAAATAAATCTTTAAAAAAAATACAAAGGTAGAAAGTGAGGAAGAAACCAATCTTTGTATACATGTGGAATCATGTACATACATCATATACATGCATACACACATAAATAAAAGTTCTTTCTGTCCAAAGATGTCCTGGATACAGCTAACTACTTCAGAGGTATCAATTCCCAATAATCTAGAAAGATAATTGGTGATAAACCCATTTCACAGAAGAGAACAAGGAATCACGGAGAGGTGAAATGACCAGTGACATGTTGGGCCAGGACTCAGATCCATGTGAGTGCAGCGGGAAGGCTAGCAGGCTGTCTCTATGCCTGCCTCTCCTGAGTGTTCACAGCACTCCATTCAGGACCAGTCACGGAGCAGCTTTGTTACACGTGTCAAGAGACTCAAGATGGATTGTCCTGTGTGTGCAGTGCAGAGCAGTGGCAGCGGCAGAGCATGAGGCCTCTTCTTGGTTTTTTTTTCTTTTGTTTTGTTTTTTACAATTTACAAAACTTCAGACAAGTCCTTGACTTTCCGGAGCCTTACTGGACATGATGATGTACAGACTAATGTACTTACGTTTTATGCCAAGGAGTAAATGAAATACTTTACATTATAACACATACATAGCCCCATAAAGTGGTACAAACCTATAACCCCAACTCTCCGGCTGAGTCAGGAGGGTGGAAGGTCTAGAACTAGCTTGGGCTACAGAGAGAGTCCAAGGTCAGACTACTCAAAATAAAACGGGAATGGACATGGCTTAGTGGTAGAGTATTTGTCAACCATGAAATAGACCCTAAGCTCACTTCCCTGGACCACCCTGTCCTAGTCAGGGTTTCTATCTGTGATGAAACACCATGACCAAAATCAACTTGGAAAAGAAAGAGCTTATTTGGCTTATACTTCCATATCACATTGTTCATCACTGAAAGAAGTCAGGACAGAAACTCAAGCAGGGCTGGACTCTGGAGGCAGGAGCTGATGTAGAAGTCATAGAGGGTGCCTGCTTACTAGCATGCTCCCCATTGCTTAGCTGGCTTTGTGGTTTTTTTTTTTTTTTGTTTGTTTGTTAGTTTTGTTTGTTTGTTTATTTTTTAGTTTTTTGAGACAGGGTTTCTCTGTAGCTTTGGAGCCTATCCTGGCACTAGCTCTTGTAGACCAGGCTGGCCTAGAACTCACAGAGATCCGCCTGCGTCTGCCTCCTGAGTGCTGGGATTAAAGGCGTGCGCCACCACCGCCCGGCCTTAGCTGGCTTTCTTATAGAAGCTAGAACCATCTCACCAGGAATGGCACCACCCACAATGGACGAGGCCCACATCAATTACTAATTAAGGAAATGCTTGCCTGCAGCCCAGTCTTATACAGGCATTTTCTCTCTGAGGGTCCCTCCTTTCAGATAACTCTACACTAGGTTAAGCTGACAAAAATAGCCTGCTCATAGCCCTACCACCAAACATTCTGTACACAAAGTTAACACAGGCTCAGGACACTGTAAGTACTTAATTAGAATTAATCATGTTTATATGAACAATCAATATTACAGATGGATGTCATCAAGGGGTATTTATAGGCACCCACTGTGTTCTAAGCACTGTGCTGAGACGGGTGAATTAAAGCCTCATCCCAGTGCTGAGGTGAAACGACGGCAGCCAACCTGTGGTGCTGCACACACTCACCGTAAGACGCTCCACCGCCTGAACTCTAGAGCAGTGGTCTGCATGTGAAGTTTGGTCCTACGAGCAACCATGTATATCAGCCAGGACTTCCAGGCTTGGCGCATCTTCTGCTTTCTAGCTAAAGACATCAAAGAGAGACCTTTTTTAAAGGGCAGAAACTGAACTGGAGAGATGGCTCAGCAGTTAAGAGCATCCACTGCTCTTACACAGGTCCAGTTCAGTTCCTCACATCCACACTGGGCAGCTCACAACCCCCTGGGACTCCAGTTCCAGGACAATTGCAGGGATCTGATGCCTTTCCTCTGGCCTCTGCAGTCACCTGCACATGTCTACACACTGACATATGCACATAAACATCACTAAAAATAAAATCAGACACTAAGAAAGACTTACATAGATCTAATCTACATGGGAAGTAGAAAAAGACAAGATCTCCTGAGTAAATTGGGAGCATGGGAACCTTGGGGGAGGGTTAGAGGGGGAAGGGTAGAGGCAGGGAGATGAGCAGTGAAAATTGTAGAGCTCAATAAAAAATCAATAAAAATAAAAAATAAAATAAAACCAGATGCCGGGCAGTGACGGTACATGCCTTTAATCCCAGCACTCGGAGGCAGAGGCACGTGGATCTCTGTGGGTTTGAGGCTAGCCTGGGTTCGAGGCTAGCCTGATCTACAAAGCAAGTTACAGGACAACGAAGACTGTTAAACACAGTGAAATTCTGTCTGGAAAAAAAAAACAATATAAATAAATAAAAAGGACCCTGTCTCAGCCGAACAAAGCCAACAACAATAAGAAGGGTAGAGAGGGTCAGTGAGATGACTCCGTGATGGCCTGAATTTAATCCCTGGAGCTCAGTCACACAGAAGGAGGAGAGAACTGACTCCTGTGAGCTGTCTTCTGACCTCTCATGAGCACTATGGTATACAGGAGCCCTCACACATTTAAACCAACAAACGTAAAAAAACAAGTATTTCAGGTTGCCATACCAGCTCAAGGACTTCCTGTACTTCGCATATCTCGTCTCTAGCCTCCAAGCGCCCTCTGCTGGAAACACTGTGTAGTGTTACAAATTGAAAAAGAATGGAGACAGCACAGGTGACAAGTGGTGCTGGTCACAAGCATTTAAATGAAACTTAAATGTGCAAGGCAAGCCCTCTGCCAACTGTGCTGGACTGGAGCCCCTCCAGCTTTTGTTTTTCTGTTTTGTTTTGTATTTTGGCTTGGCCTTATTTTTTAAGACGGAGTTTTTCAGTAAACTTGGAGCTCATCTATTAAACTAGACTAGCTGGCCACAGGAATCCTCCTGCCTCCACTTCCCAGTGCTGGTTTGAAGGCAAGCCTGGCTTTTTATGTGAGCACTAAAGAATCACCCTCAGGTCCTCAAGCTTGCTGTGCAAAGCAATTTACTGAGACCCTTTTCCCTAGCCTGGAAACACAGTGGTGGCACATACCTTTATCTCAGCACTCAGGAGGCAGAGGCAGGCAGAGTAGAGCTCTGTGAGTTCGAGGCCAGCCTGGTCAACAAAGCAAGTTCCAGGACAGGCTCCCAAGCTACAGAGAAACCCTGTCTCAAACAAAAGAACCCAGAAGCAGCCTGGTAGTGGAGGTATACACCTTTAATTCCAGCACTCAGGAGGCAGAGGCAGGTAGATCTCTATGACTCACATGCAGGGCAAAACATTCAAAGATATAAAAAAAAAATTTTTTTTTTTTAAAAAGAACTTCCAGCCGGGCGGTGGTGGCGCACACCTTTAATCCCAGCACTCGGGAGGCAGAGGCAGGCGGATCTCTGTGAGTTCGAGACCAGCCTGGTCTACAAGAGCTAGTTCCAGGACAGGCTCCAAAACCACAGAGAAACCCTGACTCGAAAAACCAAAAAAAAATAAATAAATAAATAAAAAAGAAAAAAGAAAAAAAAAGAACTTCCATGGCCGGACGGTGGTGGCACACGCCTTTAATCCCAGCACTTGGGAGGCAGAGGCAGGCAGATCTCTGTGAGTTCGAGACCAACCTGGTCTACAAGAGCTAGTTCCAGGACAGGCTCCAAAGCCACAGAGAAACCCTGTCTCGAAAAACAAACAAAAAAAAAAAAAAAAAAAAAAGAACTTCCAACAAACACAAAAAATATAAAAAAATTCTGGCCAATCTAGGTTGTCAGCTTAACTACAACTGGAATTAACTAAACCCAAATAGCTGGGCACACCTGTAAAGAACTTTTCTTGACTAAGTCATAGTGGAAGAATCACATTAAATTTGGGCATGTCTTCTGGTGGTGGCCTGCATAAAAGGACATGGAAATAGGAAGCCTTGGCTGTTCGCCTGCTTGCCCTCACTCTCCTTGGCAACTTCATCTACCCTGTCCCTGAGATACTCCTTTGCTGGGGTTAGAACCTACATTTTCTGAATTCCAAACAAAGACTGAAGACCAGCAGCTCTCTAGGACTTCCCTGGGACTCTGGCACCAGATTCAACAGTTGAGACATCCAGTCTTGTGAACTGAACGACTACCAGATCCTTGGCCTTTCCATCAAGAGACCATTATGGTCCTACTTGTACCACAGCCTGTAAGCCACTCTCACAAATTCCTTTTAATGTATATAATATGTATCAGTAATTAACAGAATCAATTATGTATTAACATGATACATAATATACATATGTATATAGACACATATTAGTTAATTCTATCAGTTCTGTTCCTTTAGAGAACCTAACTAATACACTGATATAGGCAGACAGATGATAGATATGTGTGCATATGCATAATATACATATGTATATAGACACATATTAGTTAATTCTATCAGTTCTGTTCCTTTAGAGAACCTAACTAATACACTGATATAGGCAGGCAGATGATAGATATGTGTGCATATGTGGAAGTGCATATACATTAATAGTGAGAACGAGAAAAGATACCATTAATTATTAGAGAAAGGCAAACCAAAGTAAAACCAAAATAAAATATCTGAACTATCTATATAGATAACTCAGATAACTATTTGTAGGGATCAATTATTATTATTTCGTAGGAGGTTTTAGTTTCTTTTGTTTCTTTGAGGCATGGTTTCACTTTGTAGCCCTGGCTGGCCTGAACTATGTAGCTTAGGTTACTCTATGAACTCAGAGAGATTCACCTGCCTCTCGAGTGCTGGTAGTAAAAGCATGTATGCTCAACTGATTTTATTTTTTGAAACAGGAGCTGAGTGTGCAACCACAGCCAGCTATCTGCTTGCTCCCTCGCCTCTCCAGTGCTGTGACTGCAGGCATGCACCAGCATAGCTGTCCCATTTCTAAAATAGACATTTGTGTTTCTGTATACAAAAATGACTCTGGATTTGCCATAATCATAGAACTGTACACCAAAAAAAAACCTCTTACTTTATGAGAATTAGAAACAACAACAACAAAATAAACCATTAGCTACTTACAGATTAAATATAGAAACTGTCTCATATTAAACTAAGAACCCAACATCCTGGGGAGAGGGGAGAAAGCTAGACAAGGACGGTAACATTCATCACTTATTTATTTTGTGACCTAGCTGAGGCTAGCCTTGAACTTTCTACGTAGCCCCAACTAGTCTGAAATTTTCCATTTTCCTTCCTCCACCTCTTGAGTGTTGAGATTACAGGCATGTATCAACACACCTAGCTTAGGAAGGTAACACTTCAAATGCAACTGAATCAAGGCTGGAGAAATGACTCTCCAGTTAAGAGCACTCGCTGCTCTTCCAGAGGACCCAGGTCAATTCCCAGCTTACAACAAACTGAAAGTCCAGTTCCAGGGGATCAAATGCTCTCTTCTGGCCTCTGCATGCACATGGCACAAAGACACATTTTAAAAAAATTAATTAGCCGGGTGGTGGTGGCGCACACTTTAGCACGCCTTTAATCCCAGCACTCGGGAGGCAGAAGCAGGAGAATCTCTGTGAGTTTGAAGCCAGAATGGTCTACAAGGGCTAGTTCTAGGACAGCTAGGACTGTTACACAGGGAAACCCTGTCTCAAAAAACCAATAATAATAATAATAACAATTAATCAATAAATGAAAATGAGCCTGAAACTTTTGGATCTCGAGGAAAGGTAAGAAGTGCACATTCAGTGTGGTCAAGGCTAGGGGGAGAGAACAGGGGAAACCATGAATGTCACACCGAAGTGTTGAGTTCACTAAGAGAGGCCAAGTGACGTTGCAGGGTGGCATGGTTTAATCTTCGTCCAAGCAGTCTTACAGCTATGTGTACAAGGAAAAGAGAGGGAATAAGTGCAAAGAGGTGATGAAGAAGTACCAACATCATCAGAAGGTGAGGATCACTGTCAGGAAGTGGTCCCTTCAGAAGGCTCTCCTAACACCAGATAAATGCTTCTGAAGCATGAGGAACGGAACTAACCTAAGCAAGGCTTGTCATCTACAGGGAAAGGAGGAAGTGCAGGTCCACACTGTAGGGGTGCAGCTATGCTGTGTTCACTTTAAGCGCACCAGCAGGCCAGGTACAGTCTGCTCACATCTGCCTAAGGAGCTTCAAGTGAACAAGCTATGCCATACAGAGACACACAATCTGACCATGATGTCAGGGGATTCAACTAGATCACACTCCGTGAACAAGAAAGGAAGTCAAGCACGTCTTCTCTCTCACCATGACGCTCAGCTCTGTGGAGCCCCTTCCTCATCTGCCGTCTCTGCTGCACGAAGGTCTTCCAGTTCTGGAATATCAGGTTGTATAAGTAGTATCTGAGGAGCCAAGATGCAAAGGGTGCTTATGGTAAGACAAAGGAATTCTACCCAGCAAACCCAGTCACTTTTATACTTAGGGGCGTGGTAGAAAGGGAAAACCTGTAGTTGATAAAGAATTGAGCAGCAGGGGCTGGAGAGATGGCTCAGAGGTTAAGAGCACGGGCTGCTCTTCCAGAGTTCCTGAGATCAATTCTCAGTAACCACATGGTGGCTCACAACCATCTGTAATTTGATCAGGATCTCTCTTCTGGCATGCAGACAGAATACGGCATACATAATAAATAAAGAAATAAATATTAAAAAAAAGAATTGAGCAGCAGACATTGGGGTCATTTGGAGTGAGGATGCTACCTAGGATAAGCACATGGAAATCCTAAGTAATGGGCTGTTCTGACCCTTGACAGCAGAATCATCTTAAAATAATAACTGGAGCTAGAGAGATAGCTCCATGTTTAACAACACTGGCTGCTTTTCCAGAGGACCTGGGTTAGGCTCCCAGCACCAAGACAACAGGCAGCTCACACCACCTGTAAGTCCAATTCCAGGGCCAACACCCTCTTCTGGCTTCTGCAGGCACTTCATGTCCAGAGTGCACAGACATACATGCAGGCAAAGTCCCCAGACACACAAAATAACAAAACGCCACCATCCCTCCTCTCTACAGCACAATGAATTTTCCCCCTTTGTGTTCCAGAGTGTAAGTTTTGAGATCCTATCTCAAAAAAACAAAACAAAAAGCCCGGCGGTGGTGGCGCACGCCGTTAATCCCGGCACTTGGGAGGCAGAGGCGGGCGGATCTCTGTGAGTTCGAGACCAGCCTGGTCTACAAGAGCTAGTTCCAGGACAGGCTCCAAAACCACAGAGAAACCCTGTCTCAAAAAAACAAAAAAAAAAACCAAAAAAACAAAAAAATAAAAAACAAAGAATTTAGCTATTGTATTTATTGTGTGTGTAGGAGAGTGTGGGTCACAGCAAAAGTGTGGGGGTCAGAGGACAATGTTCAGGAAGGAGCTGGCTCTCTCCTAAGTGGGTTTTGGGAAGCCAACTTGGCTTACCAAGTAGCAGCAGTGCCTTTACCTGCTGAGTTAGAGTACCTACCCTAAAAATGGGCATTTGATGTACTTTTTAGCTTTCTCTCCATTTACTCCTTGCAGTGTGAATGGCAAGGATTAAAAGGTTCTTTTTCCATATTCTGGTTTTTAATTGTGTTTTGGTGCTAGGGATTAAACCTACTGCAGGCTAACCACTTGCTCTCCCACTCAGCTCCCTGACTCAGCCTCTCTATTTTCCCAATGTTCCATGTGGGACACACCCTTTCTTGACCATAATCAGTATGCCAGGACTAATTTTTTTGTTTTATTTTTTTTTTCTTTTTTTTCTTTTTTTTCTTTTTTTTTTTTTTTTTTTTTTTGGTTTTTCGAGACAGGGTTTCTCTGTAGCTTTGGAGCCTGTCCTGGAACTCCCTTTGTAGATCAGACTGGCCTCGAACTCACAGAGATTGCCTGCCTCTGCCTCCCAAGTGCTGGGATTACAGGCGTGAGCCACCACCGCCCGGCTTTATTTTTGTTTTTTCAAGACAGGGTTTCTCTGTGGTTTTGGAGCCTGTCCTGGAACTAGCTCTTATAGATCAGGCTGGCCTCGAACTCACAGAGATTGCCTGCCTCTGCTTCCCGAGTGCTGGAATTAAAGGCGTGCGCCACCACTGCCCAGCACCAGGACTAATTTCTTTTTTGTCTGTTTTTTGTTTTTCTTTTTTTTTATACACATTTTTTATTTATTTTATTGATTTTTATTGAGCTCTACGTTTTTCTCTGCTCCCCTCCCCTTCAACCCTCTCCCAATGTCACCATGCTCCCAATTTACTCAGATCTTGTCTTTTTCTACTTCCCATGTAGATTAGATCTATGTAAGTCTCTCTTAGTGTCCTCATTATTGTCTAAGTTCTCTAGGATTTTAATTTGTAGGCTGGTTTTCTTTGCTTTATGTTTACAAACCACTTATGACCAAGTACATGTGATAATTGTCTTTCTGTGTCTGTGTTACCTCACTCAAAATGATGTTTTCTAGCTCTATCCATTTTCTTGCAAAATTTAAGATGTCGTTATTTGTTTTTCGTTTTTCAAGACAGGGTTTCTTTGTGTAGCCTGTCCTAAAACTAGCTCTGTAGACCAAGCTGGCCCTAAACTCACAGAGATCCACCTGCCTCTGTCTCCAGAGTGATGGGATTAAAGGTGTGACCACCACCACCCAGTTTAGAACTAATTATTTTAAAAAACAAACCTCTCAGATTTAAAAATACCTGGAAGTGAGTAGATCACTTTCAGCATAGCTTTCTGACTCAGAGAACACACACATGTGTGCATGAACAAGGATGTAACTGCAAATAAGTATGGATTCACTCTTCCCAAAAGGATTTCTAAAGGCCAGGAAAAACCCAAAACTTAGCTCCCTTGGAAGAGAAGCACGACATTGGGTAGCCGGTGCAGTGTAAAATCTGTTTCAGCAAGCATAAGTGATGAGACACCTGTAATGGCAGTCAGCTCGAAGACAGAGTTTCCACTCCCTCTGGGAGACCCACCATTCTTCCCTCCACTCTCCAAAGACCTTCTGTAGAATTCTCCGCTCATGGAAAAACCTAGGGAGAAGGCAGAACATCAGAAAGCTGAGGGGAAGCGGCAGGGCTGAGGTCTCTGCCCAGGCAGCTTCACAGCGCCCTTACCTTCTCGGTTAAGACACCACAGTGTGGAAAGCGGCACATTGAGTCGCATCACAAGTTCAGTGCTACACACACTAGGAACAGAACAATCAACTGCTCCAAGGACTCCAACAGTTACAGACACTAAGGAAATCTTCACACACTGTGAGGGAATCAAAACTACAATTCTGGGGAGTAGGTGTGATGACCCAGTAGATAAAGCCACAGAAACCTGAGGACTTAAGCTTGATCTCAGCGCCAAGAAAGGTAGAGAGAAGTGACCCCACAAAGTGACCTCTATACATGGATTGTGGCATATGCACACCCCACACACCATATACAAACACAATAATAAACATTAAAATCTATTACAATTTTCAGCACTTTAAATAAGAAACTCTATTCCCTCTTAACTATGTAAGGAGAAGCACTGCAGGGTCGGTTGCAGAGACTGAGCTCAAGCCCGGGGGCTTGGCAGCAAGCACTGTTCTTGTTTTCTGTTTTCAAGACAGGCTCCCTACAAAGCCCTGGCTGTCATGAGTCTCACTCTGTAGACCAGGCTGGCCTCAAACTCAGAGATCCTCCTGCCTCTACCTCCTGAGTCCTGGGATTAAAGGTGTGTGCCACCACTCCAGGCACAGCAAGCACCTTTACCCTCCGAGCCATCTCCCAGGTCATGTTTTGTTTTCCATAAACAAACTCCTAATTCTCCTGGCTTAGCCTGCAAAATGCTGGGGTTATAGATATGTGCACCATGCCCAGTCCTAAAACATGTTTCTAGTTCAAAAAGTGGTAATTACATTTAATTTCTAGAAGGTTACAGTAACAAAGCAAACCAGTGAGTACTTAATGGGAACACAGATGCTAATTTAATTGGAATCTGGAGAGGACAATTATAACTACAAGTCATAAGAGAAAATAGAAACTAAAGAAAATGCCTACAGGGCAGTGGTGCCGTATGCCTTTAATCTCAGCACTTGGAAGGTAGAGGCAGGTGGATCTCTGTGAGTTTGAGGCCAGCCTGGTCTACAGAGTGATTTCCAGGAAAAACAGGGCTATACAGAGAAATCCTGTCTCCAAAAACAACAGCAACAACAACAACAACAAAAAGGCCAGCTATGGTGGTACTTTTCTTGGGGGGGGGGCGGTATTGAGACAGGGTTAACAATCCTAGCTGTCCTGGAACTAGCTCTTATAGACCAGGCTGGCCTCGAAATCACAGGAATTCACCTGCCTCTGCTCCCAAGTGCTGGGATTAAAGACTTGCGCCACCATGGCCCAGCAGTTTTAAGTACTTTTAATCCCAGCACTGGGAGGCAAAGGCAGGATCTCGGTAAAGTTGAGGCTAGCCTGGTCTACACAAGCCAGCCAGGGCTACACAGGGAGACCCTGTCAGAAAAAAGATAACAAAAGTGAGTCAATGTTATGCTAAAAATGCTGTCAAAGTAAGTCATAAAAGCTGGGCTTGTCAATTACATTTTAAGTTGTTGGGTTTTTTTTTTTCATAATTCTGCAGGTTATTGATATTTTTCCTCCTCCTAACACTCACTGTTCCTTTTAAAAACTGGTTTAAGGAGCACAACAGCACCTTTGGGGTTCCTTGTCTCTCAATGTTATTTCAGAGCTTTTTCTTTTTTTCTAAATTTATTATTAACTTTTGATTGTCTTTGTTTTTTCTTTTTTTTTTTTTCTTTTTTTTTTTTTTTTTTTTTTGGTTTTTCGAGACAGGGTTTCTCTGTGGTTTTGGAGCCTGTCCTGGAACTAGCTCTTGTAGACCAGGCTGGTTTCGAACTCACAGAGATCCGCCTGCCTCTGCCTCCCAAGTGCTGGGATTAAAGGCGTGCGCCACCACCGCCCGGCCGTCTTTGTTTTTTCTAAACAGGGTTTCTCTGTATAACGGTTCTGGCTGACTTGGAATTTGCTTTGAAGGCCAGGCTGGCCTTGAACACACAGAGATTGGCCTGCCTCTATCTCTGCCTCAGGAGTGTTGGGACTAAAGGTATATGCCATCATATGTGGGGCAGGGATGGGGAGGAGGTCCATACAGATTTTAAGAGCCACAGAGACAAGTATGAAACTCGGTTCAGACTTTGGGAGTCTGATGTCAGGTCTTTTGTTTTAGCCATATTTGAGCACAGTACAATTCTGGAAGGTTTTCGATAACAATTAATTCAGTCCTGGGAGTATAGCAAAGCTTAAGACATGTTTATATTGAAATTCTTTATAAAGAACACCTGGCTTCTTTCACAAAGATGGGTACTGCTGACTCTAAGATAGTGCCCAAGATTTAGGATCTACGGACAATGATGGAGGTAAACAGAATGTGGATGTTGGGATTCCCCTGGTCCTAAAACAATACAGAAGTCACTTAGGCTGTTGTTAAGCACAAGTGAAATCACTCATAAGGATGGGTTTATGGCCTAGAAACAATGCTCAAGATTTAGCGGAAAGGGTCAAGGATAACTGAAACAAATTCTGGAGGTATGGCCCCCAAAGACTCATGTGTGTGGGCCCATTGGGAGTGGCACTATTCGGAGGTGTGGCCTTGTTGAAGATGTGTGTCACTGTGGAGGCGAGCTTTGAGGTCTTTTAAGTTCAAGCCTGGCCAGGGGAAGACAGGCTCCTTCTGTTGTCTGTGGATCAAGATGTAGAACTCTCAGCTCCTTCTGCAGCACTATGTCTGTCTGCACTCCAGCATATCCCGCCATGATGATAATGGACGACCCTCTGAAAGCTAGCCACAGTTAAATGTTTTCTTTTATAAGAATTGCCGCCGGGCAGTGGTGGCGCACGCCTTTAATCCCAGCACTCGGGAGGCCGAGGCAGGCGGATCTCTGTGAGTTCGAAACCAGCCTGGTCTACAAGAGCTAGTTCCAGGACAGGAACCAAACCTACGGAGAAACCCTGTCTCGAAAAATCAAAAAAAAAAAAAAAAAAAAAAAGAATTGCCGTGGTCATGGTGTCTCTTCACAGCACTAGAATCCCTATCTAAAATGGGGATACAGGTAAAGCCTGGCCCTACAGATAGCAAAGGATCACCAGGTTTTAAACTACATTTTCCCCCAGAATTTTAGTAGAACAGGTAAAATTTTCTTCCATTATGTTTAACCTTTCCTGGCTTCTCCAGGGCTTATCTGTATGCACAAGGGCTGTTGGTCCTCTACAACCATATCCACCTTATTTTTTTGTTTTGTTTTTGTTTTTCAAGACAGGGTTTCTCTGTAGCTTTTTGGTTCCTGTCCTGGAACTAGCTCTTGTAGACCAGGCTGGTCTCGAACTCACAGAGATCCACCTGCCTCTGCCTCCCGAGTGCTGGGATTAAAGGCGTGCACCACCACCGCCCGGCAACCTTATTTTTTATTAATCCTATCTTATTTACATATTTTTCCCTTCTTTTTACCCTACAGGTCCTTTGGATATATATATTATGGCTTCCAATTTAGTGTTTTTATGGGATTCCTGAGTGTGTGAATGACTGAGTCTCTTTCTTGTGCCTTCTCTTGGGCTATTTCCTTCTGTTTATCTGTTTTATCCAATTCTGACATATTTGTTTTATCTTATATTTTATTTTATTATTCCCTTAGAAGCCTGCTTGCTAGCATTAGTGATCCAGGCCTTTAATCCTTTAATCCTGTTTTATTTTTTTTTAAATATTTATTTATATTAATTATGTCAGTGTATATGCCTGCAGGCCAGAAGAGGGCACCAGACCCCATTACAGATGGTTGTGAGCCACCATGTGGTTGCTGGGAATTGAACTCAGGACCTTTGGAAGAGCAGACAATGCTCTTAACCTCTGAGCCATCTCTCCAGCCCTTAATCCTGTTTTAAAAACAAAAACAAACAAAAATAATAATGAAGTGGTGGGTATAGTGGTACACACCTGTATTTGCTGAGCTGGGGGCCGGCCTAGCCTACACAGTGAGTTCTATGCCAGCTGGAAATACAAAGTGAAACCCTATATTTTATTTTTGGTTTTTCGAGACAGGGTTTCTCTGTAGCTTTGGAGCCTGTCCTGGAACTAGCTCTTGTAGACCAGGCTGGCCTCGAACTCACAGAGCTCTGCCTGCCTCTGCCTCCCAAGGATTAAAAGGCATCTGCCACCGCTACCCAGCTGACTCTATCGTTAAAAAAAAATATAGATTAGCCAGGTGGTGGTGGCGGCGGCGCACGCCTTTAATCCTAGTATTTGGGAGGCAGAGGCAAGGGAATCTCTTTGGGGCCAGGCTAGTCTACAAAGCGAATTCCAGGACACACAAAAACCCTGTCTCAAAAAAACAAAAATAAATAAATAAATAAAATTATACAGAGAGGCCGGGCGATGGTGGCGCACGCCTTTAATCCCAGCACTCGGGAGGCAGAGGTAGGCGGATCTCTGTGAGTTCGAGACCAGCCTGGTCTACAGAGCTAGTTCCAGGACAGGCTCCAAAGCCACAGAGAAACCCTGTCTCGAAAAACCAAAAAAAAAAAAAAAAAAAAAAAAAAAAAATTTAACAGAGAGAAAGAGAAAGAGGGGGGGAGGATGATGATAATGTTGATGAGGTAAGGGGAGAAGAGATATAATTATATTTTCATTGAAAATTTTTGTTTTTTGGGTTTTGTTTTTGTTTTTGTTTTTTGTGTGTGTGTGGGGGAGGGGGAGAGGTTCAAGACAGGGCTTGTCTGTAGCTTTGGAGCCTGTCCTGAAACTCACTCTGTAGACCAGGCTGGTCTCGAACTCACAGAGAGCCACCTGCCTCTGCCTCCTGAGTACTGGGATTAAAGCCATGTACCACCACCACCCGGCCAAAAATTTTTTAAATAAAATAACAGAAACAGAAGAAGCCCAACAGCAGTTCACTTTCCTGAGCTAACAATACCTGGCTCTGGAGGGAGTTACTCTTCCAAAAGTCATTCGAATCCACAAATACAAGAACTTTCTGGCCACACACCTGAAAGAAAAGAAAGACACACCCATCTGAACACTCAACCTAACTAACAGGAGTTTTCTGGAAAGGAGATGGAATCTTTAAGGTGTCAAGGAGAAGGACCACAGTCTGCATCAAAAGATGATATCATAGCTAATCTTACATCAAACAGAAATGTTTGTAAACTAAAATTAACCTGGGTGTTGGTGGTGCGTTCCTTTGATCCCAGCACTGGGGAGGTAGAGGCGGATCTGAGTTTGAGGCCAGCCTGGTCTACAAGGTTGTAGAACAGCCAAGGTTACACAGAGAAACCTTGTCTTGAAAAACAAAACAAAAACCTACTATCAAGAAGATTGTTTTTAAACACTTTCCTTTTGACTTCAGGGTTTTGCTCCGGCTCACCTGGAATTCACAGAAACCCACATTTCTCTGCCTCCTACGTGCTAAGATTAAAAGCATGCTGCACTTTACCACTCAAGTTCATGGTTTTTTTTTATTTTACAAGTCCAGTAAAGAAAATGTATGAATAAAGAAAGTTTGGCCTTTATCAATTTCTACAGTGCAGTCATCTTCCCAGACAACGCTGTGTGTGTGTTTGTGCATCAGTTTCTCCACCGGAGTCATCTCCTCCCCACCCTTTGTGTGTGTGAATGGTACCCAAGGCCTCTCGCAGTTTTAAGCAGGCACTCTACCACTAACTTGCAAACCCAAACACTTTAAAAACAGGCATTGCTGTAACAACACTCAGAGAGTGTAAGTCTCAAAGATTGCAGAGAGTTGAGTCCTACACAGTTTAACAGGCACCAAGATTAGCTGCAGGAATTTTTCTGTGCCCGACTATGGGAGCTTAGACCCAGCAATAGCAGAACTCAACACAAGGGCATATAAACATTATCTTTTTAGAATCCCACAGAATTGTTTCATTTTATCCTGCGGACAAAAAGAAGACTCACACTGGAGCACATGCCCTATTTTCCTTTGTCATTATTTTAGAAAAGTTAGAAGGACAGTTTTTGGGTTGTTTTTTTTTTTTTTTGACAGATGTCACTTGTCACCCAGAATAGCTTTGACCTGCCATATTCTTGCTTTATCTGCCACATGGCTAGGACCACAGGCCTGTGTCACCACTCCTGATTCACTTTAAACAAGACGACACAAAACACCTTTCAATACAAAGTATTTTGTCAATGAAGAGGCGGAGACATCAGATTTGTGGGGAATAACTCTTTTCTCATTTTTCTTCCTGTTTAAAACCCCTGGCAAAGATCCATGTACCTAGCCTTTCCCGAACACTGTGAGAGGAGCAGTGATCACTCAGAGCTCTCTACGCAAACCCCTGTGCAACGCTGTGCCACTGACAGTCATCAGCGGAGGATGTCTGCCATCCCCTTGTGACTGTGCTGAAGGCACGGCCTGCTGCTCGCACGCTCACTTGCACACTCGCATGCACTCATTCTTGTCAATCTCTGGGCTCAGCCTGAAACCCTCTTCTTCCTACCTTTTGTCTGGCTAAGTCTTACACGATTCTTCAGGACTCAGCCAATTGTATAAGTCACAACTGGAGACCATAGATAAAACTTGATGATGTAGACTGTATCTGCAGTTTCCTAAATATTCTTTTTTTTTTTTTTTTAAGACAAAGTGACCCTGGTTGGCCTAGAGCTCTCTGTGTAGAACAGAACAGGCTTCTCTCAGACTCACAGACGTCTGTCTGCCTCTGCTTCCTAACCACTTGGATTAAAGTCAAGCACCATCAAAGGTGGCCCTAAATATTCTTTTTATCAGACTATTCCACTCTGAAGAGTTCTCCAACCAACTGGGAAAGGAAAAATAAGAATTATACCTTCAATTTGGGGAAGAAGGGAAAAAAAAAGTCTCACCTGCTGCGCAGTTCTCTTAATCGGTGTTGAACCCAATTTTGTGAGGCATGAGAATATAGAGGATGACAGCTTCTAGGTAACTCCCTCTGGATCGCAGAGAGGGCAGCAGACTTTTTGAGGGGCAGTGCCTTCGGAGAACAAGGATTCTTAACCACACCACCCCTAAAAGACCTTAAATTTGAACAGAGAGAAAAAAAAATCTCTTCATACAATACATTAACACTGGGGCTGGAGAGATGGCTCAGTGGTTAAGAGCACTGACTGCTCTTCCAGAGGACCCGGGTTCAATTCCCAGCACCCACATGGCAGCTCACAACTGTCTGAAGATCCAGTTGCAGGGGATCTGACACCTTCACACCAATGCACATAAAATAAAGTTAAATAAACTGTAAAAAATATTAAAAAAAAAAAAAAAAAAAAAAAAAAAACAATACATTAACACTCACCAAAGCTTTGTTGTTAAGCTCATGGAGACGGATGCTGACTATGCCCACACACAAAGCACCACCCCCCTACTGAAACATCATACTTTATAACCAAACATTGTATTTCCAACATTACCCAGGTGTGTTGGCACATGCCCATGACCCAGCAATTGAATCATAACTTCGACTGTCATTTTTGCCCTATCATGTACCTGGAGTCAATCTTCTTCTCCATTCTCTGCTGAACCCTTTTGATGGAAATTCAACCAGCGGTTGATATGTTCTTTTGTGAATGGATTACTGATGAACCAAAGCCTTTGTCTTCCTCTTATAACTGCAGGAAAGGGAAAGAAGGGAGTGAATTGTTTGCACACTCCCGGGGGTCACACTTGTAAATAGCTGTCTGCCAACTCTGAGGTCTCTGCCCTCTACTTCTTTTTTTTGGGGGGGGGGGGGTTTCGAGACAGGGTTTCTCTGTGGTTTTGGAGCCTGTGCTGGAACTAGCTCTTGTAGACCAGGCTGGCCTCGAACTCACAGAGATCCACCTGCCTCTGCCTCCCGAGTGCTGGGATTAAAGGTGTGTGCCACCACCGCCCGGCTATGCCCTCTACTTCTTAATTCAATACCAGGCATGGAAAGTCTCTTACGGGCCTAGTTAGGGTTGCTAGTGCTGTGGTGAAGCACCATGACCAAAGCAGCTTGAGGAAGAAAGTCAGAACAGAAACTCAAACAGGGCAGGAACCTGGAAACAGGAGCTGATCTAGAGGTCATGGAAGGGTATGGGTTACTGGCTTATTCATCATGACTCTTTTTCTTTTTGGTTTTTTAAGACAGCTCTGGCTGTCCTGGAACTCACTCTGTAGACCAGGCTGGCCTTGAACTCACAGAGATCCGCTTGCCTCTGCCCCCTCCCCAGTGGTGGAATTAAAGGCATGTGCTGCCATCATTGCCCGACAACATCATGGGCTTTCTTATAGAATCTAGGACTACCAGTCTAGGGATGACCCCACTCACAATGGGCTAGGACTCCCTAATCACTACCTAATCATGAAATACCCCATAGTTGTGCAGTGGTGGTGCACATCTTAATCCCAGCACTCAGGAGACAGACCCAGGAGGATCTCTGTGAGTTCGAGGCCAGCCTGGTCTACAGTGCAAGTCCCAGGATAGCCAAGGCTATACATAGAAGCATTGCCTTAAAAAAAAGAAAGAAAAAGTTATGTCTCTGCCAAGAACAGTGGTGAACACCTTTAAATTCCAGCAACCAGCCGGGCGGTGGTGGCGCATGCCTTTAATCCCAGCACTCGGGAGGTAGAGGCAGGTGAATCTCTGGGAGTTCGAGGCCAGCCTGGTCTACAAGAGCTAGTTCTGGGACAGGCACCAAAGCTACAGAGAAACCCTGTCTTGAAAAACAAAAACAAAAAAGAAATTCCAGCAACCAGATCTCTGTGAGTTTAAGGTCAGTCCAAGACAGTCAAGGCTACACAGGAAAACCCTGTCTCAAAAAAAAAAAAAAAAAAAAAAACAGTTACTCTGGGCCAGTGAGATAAGATAGCTCAGCAAGGGAACTTGCTGCTAACCTGAACCCTGAGTTGATTCACAGAGGGTGGAAGAAGAAAAATGGCTCTTGAAAGTTGTCCTCACTGGGTGGTGGTGCACACCTTAAATACCAGCACTCACGAGGCAGAAGCAGGTGGATCTCTGAGTTCGAGGCCAGCCAGGTCTACAGAGGGAGTTCCAGAATAGACAAGGCTACACAGAGAAACCCTATCATGAAAAGAAAAATAAAAATAAAAAAAGGAAGTTGTCCTCTATACTTGGTATTTTTGCAGAGAACCTGGATCTGGTTCCCACACGGTAGGTAACAAACATCTGTAATTGCAGTTTTCAGGGGAGTTGATGTCCTCCTAGTCAGTCTCCGGAGAGCACCGGGAACAGAGTGCACAATCACACATGCAGGCAAAATGTTCCTACTCATAGAAAATAAAAAATAAATCTTTTAAAGGATAAAGAAAGATGTCCTCTAATCTTCAAGCTTATAGGATGCCCACACAAATACACACACAGAGAGAGACACAGACACTAACAATGAAAAAGGTCCACCACCTCAAGCGTTTGTAACTAGTTTTTGTGGTGGTGAGGTACATAAATGTATGTCTGACAATGAAAGCACAAAGCCAACTGAAGCTCCACAGCTTCCTTCCCAAGCAGCTACTCTAGATGGTTAGCAATGGACTGTCTTGGATCTGGTTGATTTTGGTGTAATGTTTTCTAAATTGCTTTTTTGACAGAAAAGTTTTTATTGTTGTTTTATTTTCTGAAACAGGGTCTCACTATGTAAGCCTAGCTACCCTCAAACCTCCCTCTGTCTCCTGAATGCTGGGATTAATGGCATGTGTCATCACACCTGGCTATAATATACTTTAAACTTAAAAAGTGTGTGGGGGGGGGGGGCTGGAGAGATGGCTCAGAGGTTAAGAGCATTGCTGGCTTTTCCTAAGGTCCTGAGTTCAATTCCCAGCAACCACATGGTGGCTCACAACCATCTGTAATGGGCTCTAGTGCCCTCTTCTGGCCCACAGGCATACACACAGACAGACTATTGTATACATAATAAATAAATAAATAAATAAATAAATATTTTTTTTAAAAAAAGCAAGCTATAACAGGCTCATTCTTCCAGTGTCTTCAATTTTCCTTCACAACTAGATCATTAGCAGTCAAGAGTCTTAGTCTTCCCAGATTAATTTTTTGGTTGTCAATGTTACTATAAGAATCTTTATGCAGTTTAAATTTTTTTATTTTTAAAAATTACATTTATTTATTTGCTTGTTTGTTTATTTGTGACTGGAGGCTAGGGAACACAAAGGATTTCTGGCAATTTCAAACTCTAAGAGAAAGTATAGAAGAGATCTTCCCTAAACCTTCTGACAGAGGATGCCTCCTTAACTTCATATTTCTGGTCTCCAGAGCTGTGAGGGAACAAGAGTGGCATTGTTTGAAATGACCAACTTGGTGGCAGCTAGTTACAAAACTGTAGGAAACAAATATAAGCAATAAGAGGTAAGACAATACACAGTGGAGGCAAGCAGAGTGAATGTGACATCTACTGAACAACTGTGATGTACTTATAATGATACTCTAAAAAGGTAAAATCATCATCATAATTAAGACCACAGTTCTGGGGGCTGGAGAGACGGCTCAATGGTTAAGAGCACTAGCTGCTCTTCCAGAGGTAGTGAGTTCAATTCTCAACAACCACATGGTGGCTCACAACCATCTGTAATGAGATCTGGCGCCCTCTTCTGGCGTGTGGGCATACATGGAGGCAGAATGTTGTATACACAATAAATAAATAAATTTTAAAAAAGAAAAAGACCACACAGTTCAAGGAAAATGAGTAATAAATGAACTGTAAAAGATCATATCTGTGTCAGGTAAACTTTTTAGTGATGTTAGGTCTGGAGATGGTTTTTTAGGGCTTTCCTGCCATGAAAAGAGCTCTAGGGGGGCTGGAGAGATGGCTCAGAGGTTAAGAGCACTGCCTGTCCTTCCAAAGGTCCTGAGTTCAATTCCCAGCAACCACATGGTGCTCACAACCATCTGTAATGGGGTCTGGTGCCCTCTTTTGGCCTGCAGGCATACACACAGACAGAATATTGTATACATAATAAATAAATAAATAAATATTTTAAAAAAAGCTCTAGGTTCAATCAGCAGCAGGGAATAAACTGAGCAGGGTGCCACACAGCTGTAATCCAGAGAAAGGAGGAGCTCTGCAAGCTTTCCTCTTTTTTAAACTTTTATTTATAACCAGGCAGTGGTGGCGCACGCCTTACCAGCACTTGGGAGGCAGAGGCAGAGGCAGGTGGATCTCTGTGAGTTTGAGGCCAACCTGGTCTACAGAGTGAGTTCCAGGACAGTTAGGGCTGCACAGAGATAAACCAGTCTATACCCCCAACCCAGAAATAATCACATTTATTTATTCTGTGAATATGAAGGCTGTGTGTGCATGTATGTCCATGTACCAAATGAATCCCTAGTTTCCTTGGGGGTCACAAGAGGGTGTCAGATTCCCTGGAACTGGAGATCTGTAATGAGATCTGGTGCCCTCTTCTGTCATGCAGGCAGAATACTGTACACATAATAAATAAATAAACAAGTAAATGAATAAAAAATAAGAACAAGTGTTCTTAAGTGCTGAGCCCCAAATCATTGCAAGTTTGAAGCCAACATGTAGCAAGACCCTGTCTCAAAACAAACAAATAAATAAATAAAATAAATCTCTGGGACTGGGCTGGGCGGTGGTGGCACACACCTTTATTCCCAGGACTCAGGAGTCAGGGACAGGTATAGTTCTGTGAGCTCCAGGCTAGGCTGGTCTATAAAACAAGTTCCAGGACAGTCAAGGCTACACTGAGAAAACCCTGATGGAGGAAGGTCATTGGCTAATAAAGGAACTGCCTTGGCCCATTTTATTGGTTAGAGGATAGGTGGGAGGAGTAAACAGAACAGGACGCTGGGAGGAAGAGAAAGTGAGCTCAGACTCGACAGCTCTCCTCTCGGGAGCAGACGCCTGAGAGAGATGCCATGCCCCGCTCCCAGGATGAAGCTCCAACCCAGGATGGACATAGGCTAGAATCTTCCTGGTAAGCGCACCTTGGGGTGCCATACACAGATGATTAGAAATGGACTAAATTAATATGTGAGAATTAGCCTAGAAGAGAATGGGCCAAGCAGTGTTTAAGTGAATACAGTTTGTGTGTTGTTATTTCGGGCATAAGCTAGCCAGGCAGGCGGCCGGGGTGCTGGGAACGCAGCCCCGCCGCCCCTTAATACTACACACCCCCATCTCAAAAAAACCAAAATAAGGCACTGAAGGGATGGCTCAGAGGTTAAGAGCACTGGATGCTCTTCTAGAGGTCCTGAGTTCAATTCTCAACAACCATATGGTGGCTCACAACTATCTATCATGAGATCTGGTGCCCTCTTCACAGGCATACCTACAGGCAGAACATTGTATGTAAAACAAATCTTTAAAAAAAAAAGCCTAAATACATAAATTTGTTTCTAAGTTGTAATATACATGATGTTAATTACAAAGACAGCCCAAGATAAAACATGATTGCTAGACATTAGCTCTCAGATGCACATGAAGACTGATCTCCTGAGATGATAATAAAGGACAAACTAATCCAGAAATTCCATTACTACCCATATACCAAAGAAAACTGAAACTATGTCTATATACAAGCTTATACAAGAATGCTTAGGGTCGAGCATGGTGGCACACATCCTCATAATTAGCACGTGGGAGGCAGAGGTAGGTAGGTCTCTGAACTTAAGACCACTCTGTGATTCTAGGACAGCCAGGGCTACATTATACAAAATAAAATAAGTCAGTCGCAGGAGTCCATATATTATGATTTCACTTTGGGGGTGTGTGTTTGTGTGTGTGTTTTGAAATAGGGTCTCTCTATGTCTCTCTGAATGTCCTGGAACTCACTATGTAGTCCAGGCTGTCCTCAAACTGACAGAGAAGTGCCTGCTTTTACGTCCAGAGTACCTCAACTAAAGGCATGTGCAACCATATCCCATTTAAATGGTTTCACTTCAATGAAATGTCCAGAAAGGCAAAACTTTATAGTAAGAAAGCAAACTGGTAGCTGCCTCAGGGCAAGGTTTCTTAACTATTTCCCACTGTTGACCAATTTCACATATAGTTTTTGTGGGGTGTTCGTTTGTTTGTTTGTTTTGAGACAGGGCTTTTCTGTGTATCTCTGGCTGTCCTGGAACTTGCTCTGTAGACCAGAGTGGCCTCGAACTCACAGAGATCCACCTGCCTCTGCTTCCCGAGTGCTGGGATTAAAGGCGTGCGCCACCATCGCCCGGCTAATATTTTAAAGTTTTAAAAACCATGATAGTGTGAGATACACATATACTTAGCTACAGTATTGTACAATTTAAAAAAATAATAAAAGATCCTATAAAAAAAAAAAAGAGGACATTTATATATCAAGCACCTGAGTGAGTTTCAAATACTGCTTCCAGGAAGCCTTCCCTAAAATCCTACTTGCTCAACACTTGGTAATTACCACACCATCTAAGGGACACGGACCACAATTAAGGTGACACGCTTTCTCCTAAGCACTTTCCACGCACGACCCACTTTAACACCGTCATCTCAGCAGGTGCTTATTGTCCTTAATCAGGTGGGTGCTCAAGGTCATTGGCTAACAGGTGGTAGAGCCGCCACTGGTGTTCCGGCCTCTACACTTTCAGAAACTACACCAAATGAGGACCTGCGGTACAAACGGCTCGGTCACTTGAGATCAGTGTACACAACGAGCCCCTCGCCCAGGCACACCCCTGAATCGAATCTGGATCTGTCCTTGCTAATAAGCTTCGTGAGGGCGGGAGAGTCACCCTGAGGCGCTCTCCAGCAGGGGGAGGAGGAGGATGCAGAGGCCCTGCAAAGGCAGCGCGAGCTGAGCGGACTCCGAACAACCTCACGCACGCTCCGTTCGCACTTCCACGCACGGACCGAAGCCTTGTGGGTAGGCAGCATTTGTACAGGAGAAAGAGCGGTCACAGGGCCCAGCTCCTAGGTACCCGCGCTCTACCGCCTTTAAAGCAGGGGGACGAGCCATTCGAGGACTCGGGGCGTAAGGCCTAGCCTCGTACCTGAGGGAGCCGACTCCTCAGCGGGCGCCGGGAAGATGTAGAGGCGAAGGCCAGAGGCCCAGGGTTTCGCGCCTTGCGCTGGCGCCCCGCCCCCGTCTCCACGGCAACGCGGCCCGCGCCGGAAGCTGCTCTGTCGTCTTTAGTGCGCGCAGCTTCCCCGGGAACTGAAGCTTCTGGCTTCTCTGTGAGCTCGACTTCCGATTGGTCTCTTGGCCGGAAGTACGGACGGTTCTTGGCTGCGGGTCTCCAGTAACGCTTCCTGCATGAATTGGCATGGGACGGACCGGTGTCAGACATGGGCATGGTGGCGCGCACGTCGGTAATCTCCGCATCAGATCGGCCAATTAGTGCTGTATCTTTAAAGACATAACTTTGAGAAAAGACTAGGAGATTTCATATTAAAAACAAGGAAAACATAACAATTGGTTGGGTGTGTGACGATTAGAGCCAAGGGGCGGGAGACACGACTCAGAAGTTAAGAGCACTTTTTGCTCATCCAGCGTCCACATGATGGGTTATTCCAAGTCGGTCTCTCTTTTGACCCATATGCAGGGGAAACACTCATACACAAAATAAATATTTTTTATTTGTTTTTTTAATATTTATTTATTATGTATACAATATTCTGTCTGTATGCCTGAAGGCCAAAAGAGGGCGCCAGACCTCTCTACAGATGGTTGTGAGCCGCCATGTGGTTGCTGGGAATTGAATTCAGGACCTTTGGAAGAGCAGGCAATGCTCTTAACCACTGAGCCATCTCTCCAGCCCCCCAATAAGTATTTTTTAAAAAGTTTAAACTCAGGTAATACTTCCTGCCCCCTTCTTACAAATGGTGACTTTGTAATTCAAAGTTTTTAAAACAATTTATTGGGGGCTGGAGAGATGGCTCAGAGGTTAAGAGCATTGCCTGCTCTTCCAAAGGGCCTGAGTTCAATTCCCAGCAACCACATGGTGGCTCACAACCATCTATAATGGGGTCTGGTGCCCTCTGCTGGCCTGCAGGCATGCACACAGACAGAATATTGTATACATAATAAATAAATAAATAAAATAAATAAAACAATTTATTGGTGGCAACCATTGTGAGAGGCTGAGGCAGGAGAATCACTGCAGTTTCAAAACAATCGTACCTACTTAGTGAGTTCCAGTATAGCTTGGGCTAGAGTGAGACTCTATATGAATAGCAAGCAAATAAATAATGTTTAGATACAATTGGTTGAATTTTCAAAATGGCTCAGCAGGTAAAGGCACCTGTCACTAAGCCACGGGAGCGGAGCTCAATCCCCTGGACTTCTGTGGTGGGAGAGAACTCACTCCTTTGACCTCTGGCCACAAGCCATGCCCATGCACACAAACAAGTACATAAATAAAAGGCAATAGGAAGTGCGTAAATCTGGCCTGCTAGTGCATGTACTCCCTAGCTACTCAGGAAGCTGAGGCAGGAAAAATTACCAATTTTAAGACTACTTTCAGAAATTTGGAAAGAGCTTGTCTCAAAAATGAAATAGCTGGCCAGGTGTGACAGCACATACCTTTAATCCCAAACTGGAGAGGCAACAGGTGAACATAAATTCCAGGCTAGTCTGGTCTACCTAGAGAATTCCAGGCGAGCCAAGGCTACAAAGGAAGACTTTGTTCTATAGAGTCAACAAAAGGGCTGTAGAAATGGCTCAGTGATTAAGAGCACTGACTGCTCTTCCAGAAGACCCAAGTTCAATTCCCAGCAACCACATGGCAGTTTACAACTGTCTGTTAACTCCAGTTCTAGGGGATCCTACAACCATGGCAAAACACTAATGCACATTAAAAAAAAAACAAAAGCCTGGTGAGCAGTGGTAGTGCACACCTTTAATCCCAGCACTCTGGAGGTTGAGGCAGGAGGATTTCTGTGAGTTTGAGGCCAGCTTGGTCTACAAAGCAAGTTCCAGGACAGCCAGAGCTGTTGCACAGAGAAACCCTGTCTTGGAAAACAAAAACAAACAAACAAAAAAAAGCCAACAAAATAAAGTTATATTTTATAGAATCCCAGCCTTTTGGTGATAACTCATCTGAATTTACATCTTCAAGTATTGTTAAGGTAATTAGACTAATTCAGTCAAAATAGTGGAACCATATTTTAATTTACTATAAACTAGCCTTACAAGTATCTTTACATAAATTTTGTAAATATATCCAGGATAAGAAATGAGTACATGTTTTCTTTTTTGTTGTTGTTGTTGTTTTGTTTGTTTGTTGGTTGGTTGGTTGGTTGATTTTTGGAGATGGTTTCTCTGTAACTTTGGGGCCTGTCCTGGAACTAACTCTTGTAGACCAGGCTGGCCTCGAACTCAGAGATCCACCTGCCTCTGCCTCCCAAGTGCTGGAATTGGGTGCACCACCACCGCCCGGCTAAGTACATTTTTTTAATGCCTGGTTTTAATTATGTATATGTGTGCATGTGTCCGGTAGGGAAATGGTCGAGTGTGTGCAGGAAGCCTGGAAATTCAAGGCACTGGATACCCTGGAGCTGGAGTCATAGGTGGTTATGTGCTGCTCAGCATGGGTGCTGGGAATCAAGCGTGAGTCATCTGCAAGCACAGTGAGTGCTGAGCAATCTCTCCAGCCCCTAAGCATGCTGTCTGGATTTGATCTGATTTGCTGATGCTTCGTTCCCGTTGTGTGCATTCATCACCCTCGGCTTTGACAGAGTGAGGAAAGGAAAAACAGTATTTGGATGTGAGTTACAGGGAGAAGCTCGAGTGCATGTTACTTTTCTATTGCTGCGTGAACACTATGGGGAGACCACTACCCAAGGCTTTCTTAGAGGCCCTGATGAAAGGATACAGAGGATTTAGTTCTGTATCCTTGTCCAGGAGCAGACTTGCAAGGCCTGTCTGATGCCTCTTAAGAGGCAAGGTTCTGACTGTTTCTGGAAACTCAACTCTTCTCCCTGGACTATAGTTATTGATCCCTAGACAGCTGTATCAGAGGTACCCAGTGTTTTTCTTGCCAACATGTGTAACTTAGCTCTCTGATGACCATGGTCATTTCTCCCCAACCCCCACAAATACTATTTATGATGCTATGTTTCTTTTTTTTTTCTAAAGATTTATTTATTTATTTTTATTATGTATACAACCTTCTGCCTCCATATATGCCTGTGTTCCAGAAGAGGGCGCCAGATCTCATTACAGACGGTTGTGAGCCACCATGTGGTGGCTGGGAACTGAACTCAGGACCTCCAGAAGAGCAGCCTGTGCTCTTAACCACTGAGCCATCTCTCCAGCCCTATGCTATGTTTCTTAATAAACTTGCTTCACATAAGTCATCATCTTATGCAAGAGCTCCTGGCTCCAGCTATTGCTTTTGTCTTCTTTATTTCACATCACTGGTCCTCCACTGAACACCTTGCTGCCTGGACCTTTATTCCCACCAGTTTAGGTTAAAACACCACAACCAAGGCAACTTATAGACAGAAGGGTTTATTTGGTTTACAATTTCGAGGGCTAGGAGGTCATCATGTGGTGAGCAAGGCAGCAAGCAGGAAGGCAGGCCGGCACTGGACTGGGTAGCACTGGACTGGATGGCACTGGACTGGATAGCAGCCGAGAGCTCACATCTTCATCTGCTAGCAGGAGGTAGAGAGGGCACACCAGGTGCCGGTCTTTTGAAACCTTACACGTGGCCCCAGTGACACACCCCCTCCGAGAAGGCAGTACCTCCTAATCCTTCCCATGTAGTTCCACCAAGGGGGCATGAGCCTGTGGGGCATTCTCATTCAAAGCAGCACATAGAGTAATAACTAGTACAGCCTTCATGCTATCCAGCACTTTGTGAAGTATTTCTCGTGTATACAAATAAAGTTGTAACTAGGCTTAGGGGTGAATATCTTTAATTCCAGGACTCAGGAGGCAGAGAAGGTAGACCTTTGTGAGTTCATGGCCAGCTTGGTTCCAGGCCAACTAGAACTACATAATAGAATAACCCTGTCCCAAATAGCAACAAAGAAACAAGGCTTAGCCAGTGTCTAGCTTCTTCATAGAGGTGAAGGCAATTTACAAGTGCCCTTCCTTAGGAAAGTTTTATCTTTAATTCTAAATTGCAATTGTCTTCTTTCCTGCACACTAAAACAGAACCTTTAAGAATGACGAGAGGCTGGCAGTGGTGGCAGTGTAGGCCTTTAGTCCCAGCACTTGGGAAGCAGAGGCAAGTGGAGCTTTGTGAGTAAGGCCAGCCTGGTCTCCAGAGCTAGTTCCAGGTCAGCCAGGACTACACAAAGAAACCCTGTCCCGAAAAACTTAAAACGAAAACCACAAAGAGAGGTGAGGCTACATTTCTACAGTCTATTAAAAAGCACCCCAGTGAAGAATAGGCCCACACTAGAGTATAGAGACCTTAGGAAATTAGTTCCAGGCACAACTATGATAACAATTTCTTAAGCACTGACATATATGGCTTTTGGCAATTTTTTAAAAATTTTTTTAGATTTTATTTATTTATTATGTATACAACATTTCTTCCATGTATGCCAGCAGGCCAGAAGAAGGCATCAGATTTCATTATAGATGGCTGTGAACCACCATGTGGTTGCTGGGAATTGAACTCAGGACCTCTGGAGGAACAATCAGTGCTCTTAACCTCTGAGCCATCTCTCCAGCCCCGGCTTTTGGCAATTTTTAACACAAACAAGTAGACATTTCTCTCATATAAAGAAATCAAGTCAGCCAGGCAGTGGTAGCACATGCTTTTAATCCCAGTACGTGGGAGGCAGAGGTAGTTGGATCTCTGTGAGTTTGAGGCCAGCCTAGTTCCAGGACAGGCTTAAAAGCCACAGAGAAACCCTGTCTCAAAAAGCTAAAAAAAAAAAAAAAAAAAAAAAAAAGGAATCAAGTGTCCTGTCCTTTTGAACTGGTAGTTTTTTTTTTGTTTTGTTTTGTTTTGTTTTTTGGGTCCTGTATAAGGAACAGAATTGCGATATAACAAAAGTAAAAATGCCCCTCCCTAGCATATTCAAGGTCAATTTCAGTGTGGTAAGAAACAAAACAAAAACCACACTGCAAATATCTAGATCTTCAGCCTTGAAAACTGAAGCTCAGGCCATTAAGAGCCGTGTGGCT